ATAAAATTACATCATTAACTATTTATCCAGACGTAGGTTAAAATTGTTTTTATTTTGACGTGTCAAACAGTATCGACCACAATTCTATGGACTGATCTCCAACACACGTAGAATGATCGCACGTTTTTAAAATATGCCGATGTAAATATAGTTCAGATTGATCGAACATTGTTTATACATTTTACAAAAATGTTTCGGAACAGCATTGTATTAAGAAGATCGCTTTCAAAATTGTTATTCAAGCAAAGCACGTGCCACCAAGAAGTAAGCGTGCAATATATTATATATATTATGATAATTGCGGATTTTAAACATTGCAATATGTACTCTGTTTTTAGTACCGTTGCATATTACATGCTTTCTTATAAGTGCATAAAATCCGCAGTCTAGTCGTAGCAATACATTTCTATTTTATAAATCATTGTCTGTTTCCTACAGCTTATAACAAAGTACTGTGCCACAGTGCTAATATCTTGTACACACGATTTAGCTATTAAGCAGCCAGTATTACCAAAGGAAAATGTTGAACCAGTTAACAGATTCGTTTCGAGGACTCATACCTGTGGAGAATTGAGGATTAAAAACATAGGAGAGAACGTACAACTGAGTGGTTGGTTGGAATTCTCGAGAATGTACAACAAATTTTTGATACTGAGAGATTCCTATGGTTCTGTCCAATGTATCGTTCCTGAAGATGTCAGTTGAGAAACTTTGTTTCATTCATTTCTGGCCAGACTGTTTCTTTTCGTGTTTGGACTAAAAGAATTGTCTCTTGTCTTAGAGAAAGGATTTAGAAGAGATAACTAAGAACTTGACGTTTGAAAGTGTGTTGAGCATAGAGGGAACCGTATTGAAAAGGCCAGACGGGCAACGGAACAAAAATATGCCAACTGGAGATATTGAAATAGAAGTAGAATCCTTGAAAGTGTTGAACATGGCAAAGCCGAATCTCCCATTCATTATCAGAGATTATAACAAGGCGAAAGAGAGCAATCAATTGAAATACAGATACATATCTCTGAGATATCCTGAGCTACAAAAGTATTTGAGGCTGCGTTCAAAAATGATTATGAAGATGAGAGAATATCTGATCAAGGAATGCGGCTTTGTAGACATAGAAACACCGACTTTGTTTAAAAACACTCCCGAGGTGAGAGAGAACTTCAAGGAAACTTTATCAATAATAAAATTTAATATACTGCTAGATAAAGTTTCTAACTTGAGAAGAAACTTATACAATTGTTTAAACAGTTCTTTTCTTTATGATACAGGGCGCTAAGGAATTTATAGTCCCGACACGGATTCCAGGTCAATTTTATTCACTGGTGCAGAGTCCCCAACAATTTAAACAGTTATTAATGGTCGGTGGTTTTGATAGATATTTTCAAGTTGCCAGGTGTTACAGGGACGAGACACCTAGACACGACAGGCAGCCTGAGTTCACACAGGTACTAGTATTATAAAAGTAGACAGCGGATTTTTATGCATAACGAATCATTTTACTGCTTGGATAGCAAGCGCACAAATTAGATCTACCAACGGGAAGATGCAGTAGTTTGTAATACCCTAACGTTTGTGTATTATTTCCAGCTTGACATAGAAATGTCATTTACCGATTCCGAAGGAATAATGGAATTGATAGAAAACTTATTGGCGTATTCTTGGCCCGAGGAATCGGACGGAATAACTGTTCCTTTCAAACGTATGAAATACGACGATGCAATGGAATTCTATGGTACAGATAAACCAGATTTAAGAATACCACAGAAAGTGAGAGTAATATTTTAACATTTTAGTACCAGGATTTGTCAAATCATCAGATAATATAGTTGCTATTTTAGCTACACAGATTGACGGATCTGATCGATCGTTCTTCTGTGAAACAAAATTTGAAGATTGAACAGAACGGAGAGTTCGAAGTCTACGCTTTGGTCTTCTCTGAGAAACATGTATGTTCATTCATTATTTTTGTTTCTTCCACTGTTTTGTTATTTTCTTACTTTTCTCCCAGGATCTTCTAACGAAATCTGTTAAAGAAACCATGTCAGAGTTACAGTCCAAGTATTATCCGTCTGTGAAATTGATCCAAACAAAAATACCTACCCAGTCAGCAAAGATAGCAGAAATCATTCGAGAGACCGTGGAATCGAAGTTAAATTTGAAACCAGGAGACGTACTGTTTTTAGCTTGTGGAGAAAAGATTCTGACGGTTAATATCGATTTATTATTTAATTTTCGCGATTCATTCTTTATATACGAACATTCTATTTTAAACGGCAGCAATCGCTATTAGGAAGAGTGCGTGTAGACTTCACAAACTTGTTGGAAAGCAAAGATCAGAAAATCCGTACCGCTGGCAATGAATTATTATGGATTACTGATTTCCCTTTGTTCTCGTTTGACACTGAAACGAATCGTTTGGAGACGATGCATCATCCGTTCACGAAGCCTCATCCAGATGATATGCAATATCTCGCAGAGAATCCGCTGAAGGTACGCTTGTTAAATTAATTAACAAAGCAGCATACATTTTTTTCAGGAAACCCTGTATAGCCAAGCCCAGTCCCAATCGGTGCCTATGTGTCCGGGTATTATTATATTTGCTTATACATACGTAGGTCAGAGGACTGCACTACGATTTAGTAATGAACGGTTCTGAGATCGCTGGAGGATCTATAAGAATTCACGAGGCAAAGTTGCAGAAAGAAATACTGAGAACGTTGAACGTAGACGAGTCTCATTTAACGCACATGCTCGAGGCTTTAGAATCCGGTGCTCCACCTCATGGCGGGATCGCTATAGGTAATTAAAATTCTGAACAGCGTTCGATAGCACAGCACTAAACAATTGTTATTTTCAGGATTGGATCGTTTAATGTGTCTACTGTGCCGTACAGAAAATATAAAAAATGTGATTGCATTCCCGAAGACTATGTCTGGCCGAGATCTAATGTCCGGAGCACCGATTCCCATCTCCGAAGAGGAAAAACAATTGTATCATATACGAACGGTGGATGAATAAAACTGTTATCGTAAGGAATTTTGTACGAATTAGCTAACCCCTTTTTTCTTTACCACGTTACGAAAAGATCGAGGTGATGGTTACACGTATACAACAAAAGACATTCGAGTGATGTTCAGACATATAAAAATCAATAATTTATTATTGTGATCATCGTGGCGCAGCTAATTGGAACATAGGTAGGGGCAGATGCGAGCACAAAATATTTTTTCTTTAACAAAGAACGGGTTCTTCCAGTGATAACTTTTTTTTCCTTAGAGAAATACTTATAGATATATTAATTTGCATGTCTTATTTGCTTAACGCTCACAGATCCACACGTTCTCCTAGAATCAATAGACTTAGACGACGCACAAACATACAACACAGTCGTACAGACATTACGCGTGCACCGCACACGCGTTTTGTTTTCTTCATTCCTATTGTAACCGTTACTCTTGCGTAAATGTTAAAGGAAAACGTCTAGAAACTCTAGAGGACATTGTAAATATAATGATATATACATGTACGATGAGTGCACGGCTGCACAATCGAACAGACAGAATGTAAACGCGTTACGGATTACACAATTTTCTGTAACGGAGTATTCAAACTTCGGAAACCGTAGAGTGAACGCTCTAACACGGCTCTGTCGCAGTTCTCACGGTGTCGAAATCTCTCCGCAGATTGCACATTGCATATCTCAATAATGTAAAACCAAACGACCGTAATCGAATGCAGTTGAATCGTATAAAAAAGATTGTCAAATATGTTTTTTCTTTCTGTCGGTTCGAATGCACCTGTTTCATTGGGCGTCGTATGGCGAGATACCATATCGCGGTGACGCGGACACGTTCAACTTTACGCGAACTACTGTAAGAAACGATTAGCTCTTCCTATCGTCGAGTGTTTTTCTCAGCCGGCCCGCCGGTTCGGTTCTGCACGCATTAAGAACGATACCGTATCTTCTAGAGTATATAATACGTACATGACGATGATAACGCAAGTGCCAACGTTGGCAGTATACTTTGTTAAATATAGGTATATCGCATGGAAGTCGTAGATTTTTGACAACAAGGTGTACATTTAATGCACGTCGCGTTAATAAATAAGCTCGACGTCCGTCGTCCTATTCTATCGTGAATTTCAAGTGAACCTTCGTCATTAATAGAAAGAAAAGGTATCCTTAGTTTCGGACGGCCACTAGAGAAGCGACAATCAATTTGCCTGAACATAATGCGATCGTAGAAATGTCTCCATGCGACTCCGTATAATTCTTGGTTTCGTCCACCGACATATTTACAGTGGCCCTAATTAACATTCGGGGCGCATAAAATGAATCTTTTGGATCTCCTCTTAATTATTTTAGCTAACAGCGATTTTTTTTATCTTTTTATGCACAATAGCCAGAAAATTAAGTCATCTAAAATTTAAAACAAATATAAAATTCATTGATCCAATATTAAAACAGTAATTCGGAATATTAATGAAGGCCACTGTACGTGTATATTAAAATATTTTACTTCCTTCGCCTCGTTTCGCGTATATTACTTTTAACTAAAATGAAAAACCAAATGAGAGATACAAGTTATTGTACATATAAAAAATTCCTTGCTTCATCGTGTCTTTTACAATCGTTTTTTGCGAAAGATATTGTATCTTCAGATTGATAAATGCGACGCATGTATGGATTTACAAAAGCAAATGAACAGTTAACTTTCTCGATTTTATAAAAGTACAATGATAATAAGGTGTGCGTAGAAAAAAGTTCGGGTGAAAATTCTCAAGAAGCGCACAATGTTTAGATAATTCCGTATTGTTACACTAGACACAGGTACGCGAGAAGGAATTATATATAGATTTAGATAACAGCAGTATACTTTGAGAAACGAGAAAAGCGCGGTGGTACTATTAAAAATCGCGATGGAAGTATCTTAGCGTCGTGATGGCCACGTTCATCGCGCCACAGAGCTTAACGACAAATGACGAAAGTACATATCTAAACGGTGCACGAGATATTTGAAGCTATTAGTCAATGAGCCAAGCGGGCCGAACAACTCTTACAATTTCATTATCCCTTGGGTTCGAACACCGACGTGTGCCACGTCGGTCGATTTCAGTTCGTACATAATAGATGACTTAAATGCAATTTCTATTTATGATATTTCTAAACCCAAGAATCGTCTTGTAGCCTGTTTCTCGAACCGATACCCTCAGTTCTCGTTTACACAACGTTACGAAAAGCATTGCCCAGAGTCCGGCGCACTGATTTTATGCACTCTCGTCGACGGTGGGTAACCAAAATGCCATGTTTGTACAGGCGGATGCGAGCATCATGTACTTGGGATTAAATTGAATACACTGAACCGGTGCAGGATGGTCCCCGTTGAGCACACAAACTTTGTATCCAGTCTCGGCGTTCCATACGTGCACTCTGCCGTCCGTAGAGCCGCTGAACACGAATTGCGAGTCAGGGCTGAAGCTGGCCTCGATCGCGATTCCTTTGTTGTTCAAATAACCGGCGAACGTTTGTAACGGTGTACCGTGAAACGCGTCGATCAAACGAATCGTGCTACCATTCGTGGAGATCAGAATCGTCTTTCCGTCACGGCTGAACTTCAATCCTGTCCAATCGCATTCCTTCTCTTGAGACAGCTTGAACGTGACGAACGGGCCCTTGTCGAAACTACGCAAATCATACAATTTTAAGAACTCTGAATTGACACCAGCGGCAAAGATGAGACCTTCGGGATCGTATGCGGCAACCGGCCGACCCGAGACGTTCATAACGCCGTGACAATTTGGCGAACGTAAATCCCATAGTCTCAACGATTTGTCCATAGACCCGGAGAGGAACGTGTCCTCTATGGGACTGATACATAGCGAGACGACCTTCTTGCTGTGACCCGGGAAATATCTGATGTACTTGTTGTCGTGTAGGCTCAGATAACGGATCGTGTCGTCTATTTTGGTGCTACTGTGTATCGCAGTGTTTTTCGCGTGCGTGAATTGTATTAGATCCACGCCGTATTTCTTCGAGTTCACTGTGCGGACCTGGGTGCCTTTCTCGCAGTCGTAAATCACGATCTGGTCATCCTCCGAGCAGGAGATCAAAGTGTCCCCGTTCGGCGAGAAGTCAATGCTGTTTATGCGATCGGAGTTCTCGCGGAACACCTTGGCCACCTTGAAGCTCCTCACCACGTGGTCAACGAGCTTCATGGTGATGGACGGCGCGTTATCGCGTTCGTGCCGTCCCCTTAACCTGCCTGCTTCCGCAATTTCTTTCTCCTTCTTTTTTTATACAAGGGATACGGATACGGCCCAGGCGCCGAGGCACGAAGCTCCCGGTAGCGGAGTCGGGGGGTACGTCCCGTGTCCCGCTGTTGTTCACCTCGCGGGAAAGAAAAAACCCGCGGCGAGTTCAAGAGGTCACGGAGAATCCCGAAACACGGCCCGACTATCACCACCGTCTCGTCGATCGTCGCTTGTTCCTCACGCTTTTTTGTCGGCTCGTTCACGAACGATTAGGTCTGGCTGACGTCTCGATGACTCCGGCTCCCGAACGTGTCGCGATCGCTGATCGCTTTCCTTCAATTTGACAAAGGGCTACTTCTCTCCGTACTATTTCTCTCTTTCCCACTTTCTTAAGAACGATGGAACGGACGGCGTCGGCATCTACGCGCACACCGCACACACAAATTCTGCCAACTGTTTAGAGAAATGGATGACGTTTTCAAATAGGCAAATCCGTAGACACTCCATACAACGATCGTCCATCCGTAGATGAAGCCAAAAATCCAATATGGCGGTCGGGATGGGAAGAATCGTCTAGATGCTCGCGCATGCATAGTGGCGTTCCCATCCAAGCTGCCATGTTACTTTTGCGGCTTCGCACGTGGTCAGTTGTCAGATATACTTTTCCCCGTCTTTGTCATCTGTTTACAAGATCGTGCCTCGAGTTTCAATTTGAAATTCTCTTACATTCTAATCATAAAAAATTAAACATTATAATCAAATGTCATGTTCTATTGGAAAAAAAAGGGTGAGTCAAAATGGTTAAGGCCAGATGTTAAAACGTATCTAAATTTATTATAGCGTTCGGTTCACAGTATTTAGCGTATAATTCTTAATTATTATACAGAGACTAACTTTTGTCGTAACGAATGTAGCCTCAAAATCGTTAAAGCTTAATAGTATCGTTTAAAATGTACAATTTTTAAATTGTTTTCATTTTATAGTAAGGCTGATGTTATATTGACTTGTCTCATTGTCAGCAGATTGGAAATTATATCTAATAGACATTGTTCAAAATGAATTGATACATCGATCGTTCGATGTTAAAAATATATAAATAGAATATTAAAGTGCAATAAATATATACTTTCACATAATTATTAGGCTTATGGAATGTGAAAAACTATTCACTTTATTTATTTTGATCAAAATCTCTCTTGTTGCAATATCGATCGCGTTAAATTAATCAAATTGTTATGTACGCTACTTTTACACATATATAGATATATATATATGCGTGTATAGTCTTATTTTTCGTTGTGACAAACGATGAAAGCAGTGATTTTACATAAACACATAAGTGGAACTCGTAGCTAAACGTCATATTCTCGTTCTGCTTCGAGCCATTATTAAAGTTTCCACTATTAAGTAGATCTATTACGTGTATAAAGAGAAAGCTTCAGTTCTGGCACGTGTTACTTCATTTCCTATGTATGTATGTATATGTACGTATATGACAAATTCGTTAAAACTTTATACTTCTTTCTTCATAACAATAACAACAACAATAACAATTAGAGTACTTATAATAATCGTAATGTCTCTTAATTTTAAGCGTCTCTCTTAAAAGACATTACCAATAATTTGCTTGTAAGGAACATGCATCGTGGTAAAGCTCTGCATAAAGTATACTGAAAGGCATTACGAATAATCGCCAATTAACAAGTATATTTGGCTGATTGTTGTACCAGCCAGCAGTACACTCTCGTCCAATCGAGTATCAAACTCAACGTTGGAACATACGTTCTTTTACTGCACTGTAACATATATAGTAGACATCAAAATCCGGATTTCTCTCGGCCTCTGCTTATCAGACGTTTGGTGAGACGTCTCGACGAGAGTCTGCTGCTGACGTAACGTGACAACGTAGCGACGACTTCGAACAACTCTCAAATTATCAATCGCAGAATAAATTGTTCCAAACAAAAGAGTACAAAAGCACTCGACTTTAATTCTATACATCAGTATACTTTACCCAAATTAAACCAACATATAAGTTTGCATAGAGCAATAGGCTCATCTTTTGGTCCCTGAACCTAAAACCTGCGTCTTATATTCAATAAATGTATACGCGTGTACCTTAGAATTTCATAGATTATCATTTATTACGAGCTAAGAAACGTAATTGAAAACAGTTTCGCAACTAATCGTTTCCACAAGGGGAATCTTTGTGTCTGTATGTATATTTCATTCAATTAACGTTATTATCAGTTATTTTGTACCAATCTTAGCTCAGACTTTAAAAACGAAGGTAAAAACCGAATTGTTCCGATGATTTATTTTATTTAGAAATTCGAGTGAGTCGAAAAATGTTCCGAGGTTCAGGGAAATTGTACGCGTCGTTGTACGCAGATCAGGCTAAATGACCAAATTTCATCCTCGCTGTATAAATTTATGTGCCAACAAATATAAGCACAAGTATACATGTAGTATGCATACATACACAGTATGTATTTTCATTATTAAAAGTTTTATCAGTTTCGTTTCATAGCCGCTGGACTGTTTGTTCGTTTAAAACTGAAATAAAGTACGACGGTCTAGCCTGCAATTCCGCTGCAGGGGTTTCGAATCGTAGTCGAATAATACTTGAAAAAATAATCATATTATATAAAATCAGTTGTAATACTTCTGCTGTTGCTGAAAAATTTGTGCCATTCACGTAATGATTGTGCGGTGCATAAACGTATAATTGATCGATTCGCTAGGCCAATCGTGAATTTATAGTCGTTACACAAACATGATTTCGTGTCCACATTTTCCTTCATATAATTATATATGTATATTAATATTATTGCGTGTACGTATTATAAATGTGTAAACTTGAAAAGCATATTTATGTAATATTAATTAAATGTCTTTGATCACGCTATCTATCTCGTAGAAAAGGCCTCGTAGTGCTAAGTATTCAACTTTTTTGTTCAGCGTGTTCTATTCGAACAAATTTTTCTCTACGCCCGTTTCTCGAAAAGCTCTTCGGGTAAAAACGTTGCCTTTCGTTAAATATCTTTGCCGCTGGTGAAAATGCATAAAACGATGAAACACATTAACTCTCAAGATCGTTTTTGTGCCCACTTCAAATCGTCGGCCCTCGGTTTGCAACCGGTAGTTGTCTCGATCAGAGTTTCAAGAATATACCAAAACCGAAGTTGCTCCAACGGCCAATTCAGCCATCCGGTAGTAATACAGAAGTAAGTCTCGTGGGGAGCGACGTGGTGCACGCGATGGTGTTTCCTAGGCAGAATGATTCTATGCTCCTGCAGCCAAACGACCCAGGAAGGCAGTCCGAAATACGTATGAGACCATTTGTGTATCTGAAAACAATCTTTCGTGTTGCTGCCGACACGTCGCTTCGCTGATGTCAGATATTTCGATTAAGAAACGACTACTGCTCGGGTCAGTGATTCTCGATCTCTTCGATTGTGTCGAACCTACGGGGTCGAAAATCATTGTCCCAAGTTGCGTCTGTTGTTCGTTTACCTGATTAGTCATCGCTACGAAAATCGCGAGTAGAAACCAATAACAGGTCGAAACGAACTTTTGCTGTATCTCCGATTCTGGTAGAGTCAAGAAGTCCCATGTTAATTTACAGAGGAACGGTATCGTCACCATGAAGTTATCACCGTTTGTTTCTATAAAATCGTGCCTCGTTATACTCGTCGGATCGATGTGGTGTTCTCGAAACGGCCTCAAAAAGTTCTGCAAACAATCGATGTAAATAAACTGATACAGCAAAACCTCCGTTATATGAACGTCCATTATGTAAATATTCATTGTATGGACACCTGTTATCTGAACGTTCTATTTCTTTTTATCTATTTTCTATTACAATACTGCGGGTAAATATTAGTAGGGTCTCTTTAAACCGCTGTGATATCGAGATGATCTCGTCCGATTTTCTATGTCCTCCAATTGATTCATATAACGGAGATTCTACTGTACTCGTTTCTCTCGTGGTAGAATTTACCTTCCCAAGAATCGGTAGGTCTACAGAGCCCCAAGTATCGGCAGCCCAATGAACCAATCCAGACCCGAAATCCGCGGTCACGATGCCGCAAACTGCAGCTATCGCTATCGAACTTAGATTTTCTAATCGTATTCTCACGAGAATAAATAACGAGTTGACCACGATCAGCGTGATACAGATACCGACACAAATGCACTCCTGCGTCCTTTTTCCTGCAACAGACACACGCGTTGTTACTAGAAAAGCAAATATAATTGTCTATAACCAGGATACGATAATGATTTTATACGTAGGTGCGGTATAGACACAAAGGCATGTATTGTCAGACCGATCTTTATTTTTGTTCACAGGCGAGAATTCCAAGGTGCGACTGATGTATAGCCGCGGTATCTTGGCAAGTATTAAAATCAGAAAACATATACGCGATACGCACAGATATATCTTTGCGCTTTTCCAACATTTTGCTTTAAACGTCATGATCAAGTTTAAATATGATAATTTAGAATCGACCCCTTCCTAGACATCATTTCAAGATCACGAGGTCGCCCTCGCGATTGCGAGGGTACAATGGTAATTTGCCATAATCGTTGAACGTAACGTTATGTAATTTTGTATTTTTTATTAACGATACATGCGTTTGCTGTATATATACGCATAAGACAGTACGGCTTAAGGGTAGAGCTGCGACTGCAGCGATTATAAAGTTCTGTACCAGTGCTATAGAGGTTTGCGAGTTCTTGAGCACCCTTGTGATTGGGACCCCATCTCGGTACGGTTCTGTCCTCTTGCGAAGTCGACACCACCGAGTTGGCATTGGGATCGTCCTCGAGCATCGAATTCTCGTAGATCTGCCGTTCGGTTTTCACCGGCGCCAAGAAATTCGTAGCCATCGAGCACGCGGCCGATGCCGCTTGGCCCAACTTCGGCGGCACCTTTATCTCGTCCATAATTATTACCGTAATTACACCGAAGGATAATCGTCAAAAGATCATCGAAATCCAAACGAGGCTCTGTTATTATCGGTAGGGGTGGGTCTGTCCCTCGACATCGCGAGAGCTTCTCTTCTCTCTTGTCTCGAAGAAGAAGGCGAACGTGTATATTATATACTTCCTTTGAAATTTATACTCTATCGAGTGGATCCTTAAAAAATACGGACGATCTTTTAAATTTCGCGTGTAGGAAAGGCCATGTCCTGTTGCGCATTATTCGATGATCTCGTTTCGCATCATCTGTCGTCCGATCCATCGAACCTTTCGACAATAATATTTCTTCCTTCTCCTTTCATCCCGCTTAAATCACTGGTCTTCGTTGTTTCCGTACGATTTTGTTTCTCTCGTCGCCCGTTTTCGATGTCTCACTCGACTGAATTTCTGCTAGGAAAATTATAAAATTTCATAAAACAACATATCTAATGAATAGACGTGGAAGAATTTTTGTCACTAACGCTCGATTGTGAACCCTTATCTGAAACCGACACGAATATTTTTAACAAAATTTAATCTGGTTTAGCAATTTAAGCGATTTTTGCTCGATAACATTTCTTATCTATATTGTATTCTTATCAATGCTGACAATAGAGCGCTCAAATGAAAGACTTCACACCAGCCGATTGAGAGCAAAAAAATGAATGAGTACCCTTTCATAGCATGTGTTCTCTATTTATTACGATATCAATAAAAATAATACTCTTGACTTCTTTCTCAAGAAATGATAACATTTTCGAAGACGGCTTTTCATTGTAAGAGCTTAAAGTGCTCGCTGTTAGTAATAAACATTATCTCACTGTATCAATAGAGTGGAGAGACGTTACAAATATATCTAAAGCATAATAACGGCATTATCCGAGTTTATGTGTAGGCATCGGACAAAGTAGGTTAATTTCGCTTTTACACGAGCCTGGGAAATAATTTTGATACACTCCGTTGTTACCCGTATTTCGGCTTGGATTCAAAAGGGTTCGTTATCAATTTATATGCATTTTTGCCTACTCACGTTCTTCCTAATATATAGGAATAAAATCATATCTCAAAAAAATCCAAGATAATGATAAAATATCTGATAACTCTTACTCGGTTCAACCAGGTATTTCGAGTATTTTTTAAGATCGTGATAAACGGCATTCAAACTAATTTATATGAATGATTTAACACTATTTTTACTGGCGTTAAAATACCTGAAATTAGTGCTTAAAATTATTATTAGTTGAATACTTTTTCCTCAACTGGTTGTTAAATTAATTAATTAAATCGAGGACGAACGATTAAACGAATGACAATAATTTTAGGTGTCTTCTGATATCGCTTGGTAAAAATATTATTAAAGGACAGTAATGGAGTACGTTTGTGAGAGTAAATAGAAGGATACGTGCCACCGTAGATATCATTAATATATAATCGGACTATTGGTTCGCTACGTTCCTACTCGGACACAAGATCGAACAGCACACCTAGACGTGCGTCGAGTAAGTACACGCGCGCAGCACGTGTATGTTAGAGCAGGTATTCTAACGAATGACACAGATGCATAGGTGTAGCCTAGAAGGTAGATAGATTCGCGTAAGAATATCGAACCGGAGACGAAGCGTCGTTAGTCAGATACTTATGCGTCGATAGAAATGTAATTTAACGGATCGAGAGATAAGGTGATGCAGGCATACCCATAAGACGGATGGACGTGGGTAACGACGATAGAAAATCCTCAGGGGATTCGTTGACGTTTCCGCGTTCGCTCGTTATCCCGGTCGCCGCATTGTCCAGCCGTAAACTTGCTGAATTGTGCACGTTCAATTAGTCACTGGTGGTAGGTAGGATCACCCACACGACGAGACACTATCGTACCTCGCACCGACGTAACACATAAAGCACACGTAAGGACAGCAGCAGCAGCACGCATGATGTTCGTAGACGTTCGTGTGTCGGTGTCATGCACAACTTTTCTTCTGGTCGTATCCCGCTCGCACCGTGATATCACCACAGAGAACTGGTAGTAACAGGTTCGAGTTTACCGTGATTTTCGTAAACGACAAACACCGACGCGAGGATGTACGAGGTTAAAGAGAAGCGCGGGCGTGTGTGGGTGAAGAACGAGAGGAGCAATTGACGAAAGTTTCGGGGAGGTACGTTACAGCGGTTTCTGGCATTTAACTCCGCGACCCGTGATCCGTGTGCGTGAGAAGTCTGTGCGACGAATAAAAAAAGCTTAACAAAACTGGAGTTCTCACACGTTCTCACGAGTCTCCTTGATTCTTTTACGTGAATTCTTACGCCGCTTCTTTTCTTCGTTCATACAAACGGATCCTCCTGGCTGCCTGCCGAGCAACCCCGCGACCCCACCTCGTTTCGTGACGAACGCCCGGCGCCGCCTGACGACTGTAACTGTAGCACTGTGCCTCGCGTCGCGACGCTCTCCTCGCGGCGCGTGGCGCCGTCATGCGGATAGCCCTCCCTAATCTACATGCTTATTACCGTGCTTGCAATACTACGATTGCAAATTGCAACAGTATCGTTGGTATCCTTTGGTCAAACGCTTCAACGTTATCCTTCGTGCTCCTCGTTAAAATAAACGCAGACTGATTTATCTAATTGTAATATTCGCATCTTTGAATTTATCGCAACAATCATTACATAAGTACATGTATATTTAAGGCTCAGAATGCATCCGATACGTAATCGATTAAAAATGTAGCAGCACGTCATCGCTAACCGTATTGGCATCATACGTGACGTGTGCGTAGCACAATACCTGTTGGTCACCACAAATCTAATCGGCTTAATCATCAACGCCAATGACACAATTTATATTTATATCAACGCGATACGTTTCAATGAAGATTAAGACTAAGAGCAAGTCATTTTTTAGAAGATTTTTTAGCAAGATTTTCCAACCATTTTATGTCCGGAGCAATTATTTAATTGCAAAGATCTGCCAGAGTTGCTGATAGGCAGAAACGCTTAGCACTTATATATTTATATCGTGAAACGATAAATGGACGCATAATCGGATTTGTGACATGTCGCAATAAGGGTAAATCTATCGAGTGAAAGCTTTCAACGGTGAGTAATTAAGCCTATGTAATGCGACCTAAGTTGTAAGAGTCCGTCTAGGGCACGTGACGGTTCGCGAGTGCTCATACTTTATTTAAAGGTGGATCGACCGTACGGCCGACTCGTAACTTTTTCATAACTTAATTCTATCAGAGAAATATGTAAGTTCGTAGCCACGTAATGGATGATGGATCATGGCAATTTTTAATGTTCCATCAAAGAGTGAACCCTTGGGAATTATATCACGGAGGAATACTCGAGAGTGACCGATCACGGTATCGTTGGACTTTTTTATCCTAAATACCCGTTCGAAAAATACGTCTCCTTACTTACCCCGTAAATCTTGTTCGAAACAATTCGCTGAACCGAGTTTAATGTCTGCTAATATCTTTATTGTGATACGAAATGTCGCTCGTAATTTGATTTGCTCCAGGTTGATTTTAGCCTTGTACGAGCAGTCTAGTTGCCAAGTTACAATAATGCCAAAATAAACTGGGAAGTGCGAAACTTCGGTTGACATAAATTCTTAACGCGCGCGTTACACGCAACGGCCGCTGGTCATTTGTCAATTATTCATCGGAAAACGAAACTTTTCTTTATCTTTTTTTAAGCTAATCGTGCCATTGTGAACTACAATCAGCGACGAGGTTCAATAGCAAACGAAGGTTCTATGGACTCGTATTGTACACGTTTTGACAATAAGCGCGTGTTTGAAACGTGAATGAGGTAGCAGTACGCTTTTACAAGTGTGCGTGCAAACATACGTATATAGAATCACGAACAGGTGCCGTCGATAAACCGGAAAGACAACGGGTCATTGTTTGAAAATTAAACCTGACAAAATGCTTCACGCGAAGTAACTTATAAAGATTGTACGAATCGTAAGATCTCTGCTGAAAGTTTAACGAAACGTGATAAAAAGTCGAATACTTGAAACGGTAAGCTTTTAGAAAAAATATTAGATTAGGTGATCTACGCGCAATTATAGGGTCAAATCGAAACCGTTCGATAAACGGGAAAGTATAATTAACATCGAATTACGGTAGAGTGTTCTTACATAAGGAGTACTCTTCTAATTTAATCTTCTAACCTTCGCCGACTCATTATAATTATTGAGCGGCACGGCTTTAAAAGATGCAATTAAAACGTGCGATATCTCAACGTTCTAAATGTAGCCATTGTGTGTTCATACATTAGAATACGTGTGATAAGACACTGATACTCCATACATAGAAGCAGTACGATATCCGCGTAATATCTTGTGAACAATTTAGATAATATTTGTTTAACTTACTATATTCTAAGTAAAATCGTATGTGACCGTTCTAGAGTTTCCTTAGCTTTGAGAACGCCGAAGACTATACACGTCGACGGTCTAACCGCGACAGCGTGTGTCACAATGACAAACCACAGGTTGATAGTTAACACTATGGATCAAGTACGTATCGAATCGGTTATTCGCGGACTTGCGTGTTGCGATATGTTCGCAGAAAACGATGGAACAAAGGCTACTGTGCACGCCCGAGTCTCCAAACATTAACACCCAATGTGTAAAATTCCAATTGAATTAATCTTTAGACCGCTGGCAACTCACAATTCATGAATTCATTAGTACTTTAGATAGCGTATATCCTTGATGTAATCGCATTATGCACATTTCAATGTAATTCTGGGGTCTAACGGTTAATTAATTAATACTGTAGTCATGTGTACCACTGAATTATTCAGTGTTTTAGCAACTCGGCGTGTATGTCAATGAAATTCTACCAGCATTTGTATGGCGTTTAATAAAATCTTATCGATACTTAAATGGCAATCAATTATTGATAGTTTTATTTTAATTAAATAAAAATTAATTTATTAAAATTTTCGATGTTGATAGATTAATAAAAGGAAATTAGTTCTAATTAAAATTTCTTAATGAGAATCACGATTTGTCTATGAGATTTTAATGACAAACCATGGACACACCTATGATCATCGAAATTAATTTGAGGTTATATTCTATTATACTTTTAACATTACTAACCTGAAGTAGATATTTTATTTATTTGTAAATAAGTACAACTTTAAATATTCAAATAATTAGATATTTATAAGATTCTTTATTTGCGACACGACACGTATAAAACTGAAACATTTATTACGACGTGTCATAAATAAAACGACATGACGTAAAAAATACAATACCTATCTCTCCTGCTGTGACCATCTGATGTAACCATAACCTATATCGATACAAACGCGGAATCGTAATCGTAACAGTGAATTCGCGATTCTAAATTTGTAACGGACTCATCGAACTATCGTATAAAAATAGTTTCATTCATTCTCGGTGTACTACAATATTATATCGCAATCTTTCATTTACAAGATTATTGATAATTCCACAGGCACGTGTTTGGCGTCCTTCTGTTTGATGATTTGAAAAGTTTGAAAATGAATTAAGGGACAGCAGTCAAGTTCAAAGTGGTTATAAAGATTTTTAAAACTACAAGTATTAAAATGTATCCGCTGTGATTTCATTGAATATTTAAGAGATCATTAGAAGTATACTGCGATTACCGTTACCGCAGCGGTACGTAGAATTTATGACATATTTTCTGTACGTAAGGTTAGTCGTTTATTTGCATTTTAAAGGTTAGTATGTTACAGTGTCCTGCAAGATGTATATATATAATATTTTGTTAGCAAACACTCAACTACTATACTTAATATTGACGATATACATATTTAAACTCTGATATCTACAATTTTGTAATTATGAGACCGTCCCTGTTCGATGAAAATGCTCGTGTATTATTAGTAGGAGAAGGCAATTTCTCATTTTCCGTTGCACTGTTTCGTCTCAATTTAAATGTCAATATTACCGCAACGTGCTACGAAACCGACGTCGGTCAACATCTTGGAAAGAAAAACATAGAGTATTTAAAGAATAATGGTTAGTATATTCGAAACGAAAATATAGAAATAGGAAGAGATCTATGCTTTTCTTTTCAGGAGTTCGTGTATTATTAGGTGTCGACGCGACGAACTTGAAACAACATCCGATTTTAAGAACAGAATTATTTGACAAAATTATTTTCAACTTTCCCCATGTCGGTGGCAAAATGAGGATAGAAAGAAACAGAGAATTATTGAGACTATTCTTTATGAGCATATCAGATTTATTAAAAGCAGATGGCCAAGTGTCGGTCACTTTGTGCAACGGCCAGGGTGGTACCCTCGCCGATGATCCTCAAAGACGTTGGGACGATTCGTGGAAAATCACAGAAATGGCAGCGCATGGCAATTTTCTATTAACACGAGTCGAGCCATTTCTGTGGTCATCGTTTCAGAATTACATAGTAACCGGATATCGCAGCTTGGACAAACAATTTCATTCCGTGGGGGCTTTAACTCATGTATTCGTAAAAGCAGAACCGCCGACTATTGAAAATATCGCTCCTAAAGAGAAAGTAAACACTGTATCATGCTGCGACGATTTATATTCGTCATGGAAGAATATAAATCAAATTACAAATAAAAATAGTGTAGACACTCGTGTATATACGTTCGATATAACATTTGCTATTAAAGAGAAATTTGATCCCACCGAATTCTATACTTTATTGTATAATCACGCGGGACGCATTATAAATGATGTGAATTTTATCGGATCGTACAAATCTTCGGAAAACGTAGATAAGAGGACTTATAGGATAAGCTATAAGTCTGACCGTCTACCTTTGTACAGGAAACGAGTTATCGATATACACGAAAATTTGATTGGAAACATTTTAGAAAAGAATTTGAACGTCTCAATTTATAGGTGACTAATTACTTTAAGTAAAACGCACGCGTTATTTTGAATATTCTTTATTCTTTATTGCACACTGTGTCTCCTTAAATTATTTAAAATTCCCATAAATGTATAAACAGCAGTCTATTAATAAGGTTGCTTATAATAATTCATGCAAGAGATATTGGAATGCAGTCTCCTACTTTCAGATGCATTGCGTTAATCAGATAAGGAACATAATTGTACAGAACGGTCCTTGGCGACAATCTTTTGTATACACCTTCACGATAAATTTACAGAAATGTAAAAATCTGAATAAAAACATATTTAAATCGATCTGTACTTCGAAGTGGCTTAGAGAACGAGAGAATATTCCTAAACCTTTACGCAGTGTAAAACCTAGGGCACAAACCGACACGGAGAGAAGTATCGTCGATTTAAAACAAGTATGGAATTCATCAAGTTCTCTGTAACGTTCCCTTTTATAATGTATAAATCGATGTTACAGGTAAGAGTAATCGGTGGTAAGGGTGGAGACGGACAAATATCATTTTTACACTTATGGTCGAACGAATACGCTGGACCCGACGGCGGAGACGGTGGGCATGGCGGTCATGTAATATTTCAGGTAGACGATGAGTATACGGTGAAAGAATAGACCGTGCATCCGATATATATTTTTATTGAGCTCATAGGCTGGAGGTACGCGAACGTTAAAACGACGTTTGGTCTCAAGTCTCTCGATGCTCGGTCTGTTCTCTTGTCTACGAGTAAAAGTAGTCGATAGATGACGGATCAATTGAAATGTTACAGGCAACGCATGATGTTAAAGATCTCGCGCACATAAGTAGCGTTCTAAAGGCCGATGATGGAGAAAGAGGCGAGAGTAAAGACTGCTTCGGGAAAAACGCGGAACACGCGATAGTACGGGTACCCATGGGTACTATCGTACGTAACGCTGAAGGAAAGATAATAGCAGATTTGAATCGAGAAGGGATGATGTTCATTGCTGCGCGAGGAGGTTCCGGCGGCCACGGTAACTCTTTCTTCAAGTCCGACGTACAGCAAGCACCGCGCATAAGCGAATACGGTGCGCATGGAGAAGATTTGCAATACGTATTGGAAATAAGTAGCATGGCACACGTGGGGCTGGTGAGTGACGATTGATTCTTATCCTTTCGTGAAACATGTATGGTATCAATTCAAAGAATTAATATTTATAGGCACATGTATATTTTAGATTGGACTTCCAAACGCAGGCAAAAGTACACTGTTAAGAGCGATATCTAGAGCCAGGCCGAAAGTAGCAGCGTATCCATTTACAACGTTGAAACCTTATTTGGGGATGGTGTTGTATGACGATCATGAGCAAATTGCAGGTCTGTAATGTTGCCTAATTAATTACTTAATTGATTGTCAGCGGTGGATTTGTTACAGTGGCCGATTTGCCGGGTCTTATTGCCGGTGCTCATAAAAACAGAGGTCTGGGTATACAGTTCCTTAAACACGCAGAACGCTGCAAGATTCTATTATTTATCCTCGACGTTACTAACGACGAACCGTGGGCAGATTACGACACTCTGAGGCATGAGATCTCCGAATTCAATATACGACTGAACGACAGGATGCATCTCATCGCTGCTAATAAAATAGACCTGCCAGGAGCAGCGGTAAGTTATTCTACTTCTATCGAAACTGCGAAGATTATGTCACCTAATTATATGTATCTATTATGCAGGAGAAGTTGGAATTGCTTAAAGAAAAACTGAACGTACCCATCGTTCCGGTATCTGCTAAGCTGGGCACAAATGTATCTACGTTATTAAGAGAATTAAGAATATTGTATGATAAAGTGGTAGAGAATAATGAAAATGCGTTGCAATATGAAAAAGATCCTAATTAATTTGCTGACTGTATATTTGTAACAATTGTCTGTTAATAAAAAATCATTTATAAAAAAATCCCCTTAACATTTAACAGTTTTTTGACATACCTCAAAATTTTTTATCACCTCGGCTATTTGCGGTTGATTTAACATGGTAAAAAACCATCTGTTCAGATTCGTATATTGTTTCCTACTCGCCGGGTCCAATACGTATTCGTACAACGGCATCAAGCTAGTAAAAAGCGAAATATCCGCGACACTAATTCTTTCTCCTACCAAATAAGTTCTCGTTAACAATACATTGTTCAATTTATTTAAAGAGCAGAGAATATCCTCCTTGGATATTTTCATATTCGCCTTTAGAGCATGTGATACGTTTTTCGAAATACATGGCACGACCCATCCAAGTACTGCTGGTAAAATTTGAGTGTCCGAGTAAATGGACCACTGCAACACATCGGTGAACTTCGCCACATCATTCGCACATTTTAAACTGTCGCTCGATAAGTAAAAAGCGATCGCCGTTCCATCGAACAATTGAAAACCTTTCCCTTCCAATTTAATATCACTATCGTCTCTATGTTGTTTAATCACGTGTTTACCGCTGTATTTAGCTACTATTTCAGCGCGATAAAATTTAACGCCTCTCGTATTACCAGAAAGTATCATTACGTTATCAGAATTTTCAAATTCCACACTCTCATTACTTAACAACGAATTTTGATTTTTATCCGCCATCCCAAGTTTCGAATTAGCGAAATTCTTTGCGGTATGGACTAATTTTGCGACGCAAGACGTATTAGAGCCAGAAGCTTGGGCAGATTCCGATTTCCCGCCTCCTTTTCCTCCCATCAGCAGAGCAATTTCTTCGATCCATTCGTTCGCCTTTAGTCCTTTATTTACAGCACACTTGGAAACCGCGGCAAGCGCGAAAATCTTCTTAGCATCCGGATCGACGCTTACTAACAACGCGCTCGTATCCGGAGAGATAGCTTTTATTTTCTTCAAAGCAGAGTCCAATGCTTTAGTGTTACTGTATGCTTGTACAACTTGCACCAACACTGGACATCCGACGTTCTGTTCAATTATTCGTTGAACGTTATCGACGACCGCATTGGCAATCGCAGTTTTAGCAGCTCGTTCTTTGTCATCGAGCGCCTTCTTCAAGTCTTTCAACATTTTACGCATTTGATCTTTTCTCCAACTAGAAATAGTCGCACGGGAAACGTCGTCCGTCAGTTCTACGATCTTCTTCACGTGATCCTTCGTATTCGAGCCGTTCTTATCAGATTCTATCGTCGCTTTCAGCCGATCGAGATCATTTTGCAATATACTGGCTTTCTTTTGCGCTTTTGCTGCTTCTGGACCAGTCAGAGCTACTATACGCCTGATACCTTTGGCGATAGCCTCTTCGTTAGCTATAATAAAGTCTCCGATGTGTCCTGTATAATGTAAATGCGTGCCACCGCAAAATTCGACGCTAGTCTCGAACGCAGCAGGGCCTAAAGGATCCCTTTCTAATTCCTCGACCGGTATCCCTATACTGACGACTCTGACAGGATCGGGATACGTTTCTTCGAACATGGCCCGCAATCCTTGAATAGTTTTCGCCACTGCCAAATTACTTTGTTTAGCGTAAACTTTCTTATTCTGTTTCACAATGTTGCTCGTTAGCTCTTCGACCTTTCTTACTTGCTCCGTTGTCACTGCTCCTTTATTCGTAAAATCGAAGCGAAGGCGATCGGGTGCGACCAACGAGCCCTTCTGATCGACGTCCGTGCCTAATATTCTCCGAAGAGAGTAATTGAGAAGGTGAGTCGCGGTGTGATTGCTCATTAAATATCTCCTTCGCGTCGTGTCTACGTTCAGAGTCACTTTATCTCCTTTCTTCAATACTCCTTCACCCACGGTTCCGATATGTAAAACGTAACCGCCTCTGACTTGGACGTTCTTTATACGAACTTCGGTGCCTTCGTCGTCGATCTTTGCTAAAAATCCTTCGTCGTATATCTGCCCTCCCTGCTCCGCGTAGAAACTCGTTTTATCCAACAGTATTCCGACTTCCTCGCCGGACGACACTTCGTTCACGAAAGTCTTGGAACGTCTCAGAGCGATTACCGTAGCGATGCAAGGAGTGAACTCGTATTCTTCGTACATTTTACTGTTTGTAACTTTGTAATTGTACTTCAGCAGATCATTCGTAGGTTTGATCCCTTTACTTTGTAATTCGGTGATCGCGTGGACGTCCAAGTTGATCCGATCGTCCACACCACCGGTCTTCCCTTGGGAGAGAATCTGAGCCTGTTTCTTCGCTTCCTCGTAACCGTTCATATCCACTATCAGTCCCTTCTCTTCTGCCATAAGTTTAGTCAGGTCGACAGGGAATCCATACGTGTCGTACAAACGCCAAGCGACATCGCCAGGGAGCTCGTTCGACGATTCTAATTTTCCTATGGTACGATTTAATAAATTACGTCCGCGTGACAAAGTTTTAAGAAACTGGGCTTCCTCCTCGTTCACGGTATCGATTATGTATTGCGGATCTTTTTTTAACTCGGGAAAAACGTCACCGAGGAGGTCTACTACAACGTTGACGAGCGACCCAAAGAATCCAGGTTTCGCGTTCAATTTCTCAGTCGCGTAACGTACGGCGCGTCTTAAAATTCTTCTCAACACGTATCCTCTGCCAGTGTTGTCAGGAACGCCTCCGTCCGCAAGAGCTATCGTGATGGTTCTCGCATGATCAGCTAAAACTCTGTACGCCATATCTATGCCATCTTTATCTTCCGCGCCTACTCTCCCCTGATAAGCTGGCGCATTCGTGCCCTTCTGTATCGCATCGAAAAGCGGTACGAACAAGTCTGTATCATAATTTGCACGTTTGTTCTGTATAACCGACACCAATCTCTCTAAACCTAAGCCACAATCGATATGCTTCTTGGGCAGTGATTTCAGGCTCCCATCTGATTCTCTAAAACAAATTTGGTCAGAACATGATTGCGCGTCGACGCTAGTCTTTTTCCTTACGGCTACTGATCGTGCTCAGTGAATTAAACTAATTGTAATTAAAAATTACATACCTGTTAAACTGTATAAATACCAGATTCCAAATTTCTAAAACGTCCGGATCATCTTGATTTACTAAGTGAGCTGCTTCTCTGTTGCCGATACGATCATAATGGACTTCACTGCAAGGACCGCAAGGACCCGTTTCTCCCATTTCCCAAAAGTTGTCTTTCATGCTTCCTGGCAACACGTGACTCGGAGACAGGCTAGGAAAGTCATATTAGAGTTAAATAAAATAAAGGAAAAAACTCTTCTACAATCCAGTATAATGAGGATGTAATAAATATTTAATCACCCTAAAGACAGCCAGATTTGTTTGCATTCTTCATCGGGTTTCAAATTGTTCTTCTCGTCCCCTCCGAAATAGGTCACGTACAGCCGATCTTTCGGTAATTTTAACTTATCAGTTAAAAATTCCCAGGCCCAAGTACAGATCTCTTTCTGAGAAAGAAGCTCAATTATATGCAACGTCTCGATCTCTTATTAATAGCATTGTATCTCGGCGGTTGTGCCGAGATACGATTTTACAAATATGTATTACTTTAAAATAATCTCCGAAAGACCAGTTGCCCATCATCTCGAAAAACGTATGATGATAAACATCTTTGCCAACATCGTCCAGATCGTTATGTTTGCCTCCAGCCCTGATACATTTTTGACTATTAACAGCTCTCACTAATTTCGCCATATCACTGTTTGGGTCCACGACTCCCAAAAATATTGGTTTAAACTGGAATTAACAATAAATAATTAGTTTTTACAATTAATTACGAATAACGATATCCCGTACCTGATTCATTCCAGCATTTGTGAACAATAATGTTGGATCGTCGTGTGGTATCGTGGAACTCGAATGCACATATTCATGATCTTTGCTCTTAAAAAAGTCGATATAAGCTTGTCGGATTTCCTTAGCACTCATCATTGTATTCATCTTGATTAATTCTGCTACTCAAACGAAACAGCTGTTCTTAAGTGATAACGTACGTTAAAAGAGAAAGCATGTGGCATTCGTACCCGGCAATACTTGACTGTACTTCACGAACTACCATCACTACTACCACCATCAACCTCCACGAATTGCACTAATACGTCTATATAAAATCCATATAAAATCGTGACCGTACGATCAGTATTTCGACTGTGTTCACGGAACAGATGATCACAGATTATTCTCAACAATCTCAACGTGCGTGAACAGTAAACACGACGGAAAGAATAGTATAGTTTCCGATTTTTTTAAAAAAATCAGCAAGAATGCCGTTTATGATAGGTAGGTCGCCTATACGGAGGACTGTAAATTACTTAAATGCTGGTAGATTAATATTGAAAAATGAAATCCAAATATTTTCCGTCAATTATAATACACACGGGGACCATCACAAAGGTACCAGGTAAATTTTCTAAACATTTCAACGTGTTTTAGTATATCGCATTAATGATAATCAATATAACTAATACACTTGATTTAAGGGATTTTGTATTTTGGCATTTGAGCCAGGTTCAATACAAGAATCCAAATGTGCAAGTTATAACTTTCAAAAATATGACGCCCACACCGTTTATTACATGTTATTACGGTATGTACTGTTTTGATGGCTTCTAAGTATTTTGTATTGAGAGAAATGCTGTTTCAGAGAAAAATGTAATGGCTCTGAAATAGCATTATACGAATAGGACTAGAGTTAAATCGTTAGAACGATATAGAAAAATATTGATCTCTTTTTAAATTCTACGCAGACAATGGAAAGAGAATGTTAATCGATCTAGACAGTAGGAGTAAAGAAGATATACTGCATCATCTAACCAAAGTAGTCGGTAAATCCAGTGAAACCTTACTGCAGGAGAGTATAACAATGAAGAAGAAAGACAATCCTGCTAATTTTGGCGTCGGTTGCCTAAGGAGTTGTATGTGCTTAATACCAGGCCAAGTGCCATGTCCTGCCATAGTACCTCTGCCTTATCACATGCGTGGAAAATATAGAAATGGTCCGCCAGAGGATGAATTGTAATTTTAAAAATTATATTACAAACAAAAAATAAATTTTATTATAGTAAATATTTAGTATCACGTTTACTTAAATAATTGTACTTTTAGTTTCTTAAGTTTATGTACATGTACTTTTGTATTGTAATATATATATACATATATATAACACTACTACCACCATCAACCTCCACGAATTGCACTAATACGTCTATATAAAATCCATATAAAATCGTGACCGTACGATCAGTATTTCGACTGTGTTCACGGAACAGATGATCACAGATTATTCTCAACAATCTCAACGTGCGTGAACAGTAAACACGACGGAAAGAATAGTATAGTTTCCGATTTTTTTAAAAAAATCAGCAAGAATGCCGTTTATGATAGGTAGGTCGCCTATACGGAGGACTGTAAATTACTTAAATGCTGGTAGATTAATATTGAAAAATGAAATCCAAATATTTTCCGTCAATTATAATACACACGGGGACCATCACAAAGGTACCAGGTAAATTTTCTAAACATTTCAACGTGTTTTAGTATATCGCATTAATGATAATCAATATAACTAATACACTTGATTTAAGGGATTTTGTATTTTGGCATTTGAGCCAGGTTCAATACAAGAATCCAAATGTGCAAGTTATAACTTTCAAAAATATGACGCCCACACCGTTTATTACATGTTATTACGGTATGTACTGTTTTGATGGCTTCTAAGTATTTTGTATTGAGAGAAATGCTGTTTCAGAGAAAAATGTAATGGCTCTGAAATAGCATTATACGAATAGGACTAGAGTTAAATCGTTAGAACGATATAGAAAAATATTGATCTCTTTTTAAATTCTACGCAGACAATGGAAAGAGAATGTTAATCGATCTAGACAGTAGGAGTAAAGAAGATATACTGCATCATCTAACCAAAGTAGTCGGTAAATCCAGTGAAACCTTACTGCAGGAGAGTATAACAATGAAGAAGAAAGACAATCCTGCTAATTTTGGCGTCGGTTGCCTAAGGAGTTGTATGTGCTTAATACCAGGCCAAGTGCCATGTCCTGCCATAGTACCTCTGCCTTATCACATGCGTGGAAAATATAGAAATGGTCCGCCAGAGGATGAATTGTAATTTTAAAAATTATATTACAAACAAAAAATAAATTTTATTATAGTAAATATTTAGTATCACGTTTACTTAAATAATTGTACTTTTAGTTTCTTAAGTTTATGTACATGTACTTTTGTATTGTAATATATATATACATATATATATATATATATATCTGTTTATTATAAAAAGATATCAGAGATTACGAAAATACCTGTACATCAATGTACAATACATATGAAGCATTACATTGTCAATCAAGATATTTCTGCATGTAGAGTGCAATCTCTCATTTCATCGTAGGAATCATGTTGTAACAGTAGAAAAACAGCTAAAAGCAGACTGAATCGAAAGATGTAAGACGATGTGACAAAAGCGATTTAATGATTGTTCAAATGGAAAACATAAATTATATAAATATTAACTAAACGGTCATGGAACGAACGGTCAGTGATAAGAATTCGGGGTGTAGAGTACTCAATCCGAGGGTTGAGTTGGCTAGTAATCATTTTGGATCCAGTCGGGATTTCGGGAGTTCGTGAAGCTCGGGTATCCGCGATTTTGAGTAGGTTTCGCTTCAATTCGATTCTGGTCGACAGCCCGAAAAGCATGCTTGCATGAGTAAAAACTTAGGTCAGACAAGAAACATGCTTCCGTTTTGAGTACCCAAATATTACAGACTTTCAAGATTTCGGCCTGAAGTCGAGTAAATTTCCCGAGTGAACCCGAATTGTCGGGTAACCGCACACAAAAATAGATCGGGTAGGTTTAATTGTAACGCTAACAAACAAATAAACGAAACGAATTCGAATTATCTCCTTGGCTTCTGACGGTTGTACGGCTTATTGTTGTGATACGAATGACTGCTGCGGTTGTGATAACGTGTAGACGTGGACGGTTTTGGATTCTCTGACTTTTGATACAGCTGTATTACAGGTGACCCATTTAAAGGCTTGTTCAGTTCAAACTCTTCTTCAGATTCTTTCATTAATTTCAGTTTCGCCTCTATCGCTTGAATCGCTGTCTCTCGACTACAAAAGTAATTAAGATTAAAACCTGTATCGTATCAATTTGTATAAACAATTTACCTGATTCTTTTGTCCTCCTTTTTAGCTCCGGCTAGGGCAGGTATATCTATTTTAGGTTTTGGCTTGTCCATGTCAGACTTGAACGAGTAAACGAATAAATGAATATTGGTATTGTTTGCATTATGCTTACGTTTATTACTAAGATTACTGAATAGCTACCTCTGTCACGCTGTGAGCCCATCTGACGATGATATTTTTAGCCCCTACTTTCAAGTTATGTAAAGCATCTTTGGCTGCCTTAGCATCTTCGACAGATTTATATGTAACGAATGCGTATCCTCTTGGCTGACCAGCTTGGGGGCCTGATCGGTGAAACAGCAGGTCGAACTTTTCGATTGTTCCATGTTTTTGAACAAGTTTTAGGAGTTGGTACCAGTTAACAAATAAACAGTTAGGTTTTTCATTGAACAAACATAGTTTGAGAATTATGTATTAGAAGAATGATTAAAATCCGGGAACTTTTCATAATTATAATATTCTTACTACACTAATATAAAAATATAGCAAACACAAGATAGTGGAGGAACGATTCGAGTTAAAAATACCGTAGATCAATAGAATCTGAGTAAATACTTACTCATTAATTCTTAAATCCAAGTTGCCCACCCATAATCTCCTGTCCTCCACTTGATTCGACTTTATAGGTTCTAACGGCAAAGGAACTTTTGCAACTGGCTGAAAGTATTTACGAAAAAATCATGTTTATTAATGTTGCGACATAGCCACTACACGCACTCGTTCAAAGAGGTTAAACAATCATAAACAATGTCTTACCTCCATATTCAGTTTTAAAAAACCATTAAATTCACCGAACGGATCTTAAATGTTATTATTAATTTCAAAATTGCAGTTCCGTGTAAAATTGGGCATTAGACTTGAGGAATTTATACGAAATCGTACAAATGCGGCAGTTTAGCCGATCGTTCGCTCTCACGGATTTACTTATACGCATTTGACACGCATGCCGCGTATACGTATGCGCCCAAATACAGGCTTCAAAATTTTAAACATGGCGTCGTTTTTAACCGATTTCGAATGATGTCAGTATGAAATAAACGCGTCGTTAAATCGTATTCAACATCATATATACAGAGTTTAACCGTGCCATTTCGTCAGAGAAGAAATCCTTTTCGCAAATGGAGAGATCGACATCCGAGCCATCGGCCACTCAAGTACAGACGGAGACTGTTTTGAAAACGGATGAAACAGATTCAGCGGCCCAGGTATTTACGCATAATCTGTATTCATGTTATGTCGTTATTTCGTCACGATAAACACTTTTTGTTATTACTCAAAATCCTTTCTGATATCCCTGTAATACTTTGATAAATTGTGCAAACTCAATCAGCTATTATCAACTGTTATCAGCGTTATCAGCGTTAAAGTGTCCTCGATGTGTCCATGTGAGCAGTACGTTCGGTGTAATTAATCAATGAATACGTGCACATTATTGTAGCGGTGAAAGAATAATATAAAAGATTGTTTGCCATTACATATTGGTTACGACGATGCTCGCACTTGTGCCGAAATGGTCAAAATTAAGATTCTTATCGAACATCAAGAATCAAAGATAGGAACGATTCGAGTTAAAAATACCGTAGATCAATAGAATCTGAGTAAATACTTACTCATTAATTCTTAAATCCAAGTTGCCCACCCATAATCTCCTGTCCTCCACTTGATTCGACTTTATAGGTTCTAACGGCAAAGGAACTTTTGCAACTGGCTGAAAGTATTTACGAAAAAATCATGTTTATTAATGTTGCGACATAGCCACTACACGCACTCGTTCAAAGAGGTTAAACAATCATAAACAATGTCTTACCTCCATATTCAGTTTTAAAAAACCATTAAATTCACCGAACGGATCTTAAATGTTATTATTAATTTCAAAATTGCAGTTCCGTGTAAAATTGGGCATTAGACTTGAGGAATTTATACGAAATCGTACAAATGCGGCAGTTTAGCCGATCGTTCGCTCTCACGGATTTACTTATACGCATTTGACACGCATGCCGCGTATACGTATGCGCCCAAATACAGGCTTCAAAATTTTAAACATGGCGTCGTTTTTAACCGATTTCGAATGATGTCAGTATGAAATAAACGCGTCGTTAAATCGTATTCAACATCATATATACAGAGTTTAACCGTGCCATTTCGTCAGAGAAGAAATCCTTTTCGCAAATGGAGAGATCGACATCCGAGCCATCGGCCACTCAAGTACAGACGGAGACTGTTTTGAAAACGGATGAAACAGATTCAGCGGCCCAGGTATTTACGCATAATCTGTATTCATGTTATGTCGTTATTTCGTCACGATAAACACTTTTTGTTATTACTCAAAATCCTTTCTGATATCCCTGTAATACTTTGATAAATTGTGCAAACTCAATCAGCTATTATCAACTGTTATCAGCGTTATCAGCGTTAAAGTGTCCTCGATGTGTCCATGTGAGCAGTACGTTCGGTGTAATTAATCAATGAATACGTGCACATTATTGTAGCGGTGAAAGAATAATATAAAAGATTGTTTGCCATTACATATTGGTTACGACGATGCTCGCACTTGTGCCGAAATGGTCAAAATTAAGATTCTTATCGAACATCAAGAATCAAAGATTTTCATGCACGAGCACCAAAAACGACAATTCGCCTTTGGCTGGAATTCGCGTTTTGGATCTGACGCGAATAATCGCGGGTCCCTATTGCACGATGATCCTCGGTGACCTAGGAGCGGAGATTCTGAAAGTCGAAAAACCAGGTACCGGGGACGAAGCACGAACATGGGGTCCACCATTCATTGAAGGGATCCAGGATGCTACTTATTTCCTCTCTATTAATAGAAACAAAAAGAGTATATGCATCGATTTGAAACAAGGGAAAGACATCATTTACGAGCTGGCAAAAAAATCTGACGTACTGATAGAAAATTATGTACCTGGGAAATTGAAAAAGTTAGGCTTGGGATATGAAGATGTCTCGAAAGTGGCACCACATCTTGTGTACTGTTCGATGACCGGTTATGGATACGATGGACCCTATTCCAGCAGGCCTGGATACGACGTGATCGCTGCTTCTATTGGAGGGTTGATGCATATGACCGGTCCGAAGGACGGAGCACCGTGCAAGGTAGGAGTAGCGATGACCGACGTAACAACGGGATTATACGCGCACGGTGCTATACTAGCGGCGTTGTATCAGAGAACGACGACTAACAAAGGCCAGTGGATTCAGTGTAATTTACTTTCGACTCAACTTGCCAGTTTAATCAACATTGGATCAAATTATCTGAACGTTGGCAAAGAAGCAACGAGATGGGGCTCGGAACACGAAAGCATCGTACCCTACGAAGCTTTTCCTACAAAAGATGGGTATATGACCGTCGGAACTGGGAGCGATCTACAGTTCCTGGATTTGCTTAAAAGAATGCGACTGACTGAATTGTCTGAGATCGATAAATACAAAAATAATAAATCGAGGGTAGCAAACAGAGAAGAGTTGTTGGCCATTCTCAGAAAAGAGTTCAAAATGAAGACGAATAAAGAATGGGAGGTTGTCTTCGAAGGTGCTTCGTTCCCGTATGGTCCCATAAATACGTTGAAACAGGTAAAATATTACGGATGTTCAGGCCCAGGAAAGAAGCCCGATAGTTTTTATACAAGAGAATTTTATAGGTTTTCGAAGATCCTCATGTAAAACACACGAGAATGGTCAAAGAGCTGGAGCATTCATCAGGAAAAACAGTGAAAGTCGTGGGACCTGCTGTAACGTACAGTTACGCTGTGAATAAAGTTCGATCTGCACCTCCTACAATGGGGCAGCATACCGACGAAATATTAAAAAATATCTTGAACTACACCGATAAGGAAATACAGACATTAAAGAAATGCAAAATTGTGCAATGAACGATATTTATAAAATAAATCGTATTTTTTAACTCGCAAATCATCCCTTACTTTTTATATGAAAATTATGTATCATTTCGTTACATACTTTTCATCGAATTATCAATGAATAATTCAAATAATGTACAATAAAACGTTTTTCGAATACAAGTGTTTTTCAATGCAATTTATTGAATTAATCTTTTTATATTTTATACACGTGTATGTTTAATGTTTTATTTTACAGGATGTCCCGACCGTTCGGTTGTGTCTCAGGAAACCGAAATCGAGTAAGAAAGTTCAATGGAAGCAAGGGACCGTGGATAACGAGCACATGAATAAGAAGAAATCTAAATGTAAGTTATCACCGTGTATGTACATGTCGTATAATAGAAAAAAAAAGCTTGATTATACGAGATAAGTTATTTGTACGTAAATTTAAATGGCATAGTTAAACGCCTCGCCTTGTATTCGCATGAAAATTCGTTTCAGGTTGTTGTATATACGAAAAGTCTCGAAGTTTCGACGAAAGTAGTTCCGAAGACAGCGATGACGACGAATGCGAACATTGTCATGGACACAAAGATGCCCATAAAAAGATTCCTCAGCACAATCCAGATAAACCTATGAAGGTAAGACACCGCACCAGGTAAACAACATTTTCTCAAAACAAATGTGTATAAAAATTGTTGGAGTCTTTCTAACTGTTTCAGATTCGATAATTCGTTCAGACGAGCAGGCTTACTTTTGCCGAATCAATGTTGTATAGAAGAAAAGTGTAAAGAAACTAGGTATGTAGCTCAATTAATTATTTATAAATGTAATATTAGAATTGCGTAGTATTTACATGGTTCAAATTATTTTCCAGTTCAATTCGATTATGTCGATCAAAAGTAATTACAATTTTAAATACAATTTCATCGTTATTCGTCCTATTAACGTTGACAGCTTTTATCGCAAGTTTCACTTGCAATGTTTTTATTCTTGAAACCTAGACGAATATTGATAGCGAATGTGATTATTAAAACTGAAAGGAGAATATAAATCTTTATCAATCGCTCGTTACACATTTAATCTTTTTATATTTTATACACGTGTATGTTTAATGTTTTATTTTACAGGATGTCCCGACCGTTCGGTTGTGTCTCAGGAAACCGAAATCGAGTAAGAAAGTTCAATGGAAGCAAGGGACCGTGGATAACGAGCACATGAATAAGAAGAAATCTAAATGTAAGTTATCACCGTGTATGTACATGTCGTATAATAGAAAAAAAAAGCTTGATTATACGAGATAAGTTATTTGTACGTAAATTTAAATGGCATAGTTAAACGCCTCGCCTTGTATTCGCATGAAAATTCGTTTCAGGTTGTTGTATATACGAAAAGTCTCGAAGTTTCGACGAAAGTAGTTCCGAAGACAGCGATGACGACGAATGCGAACATTGTCATGGACACAAAGATGCCCATAAAAAGATTCCTCAGCACAATCCAGATAAACCTATGAAGGTAAGACACCGCACCAGGTAAACAACATTTTCTCAAAACAAATGTGTATAAAAATTGTTGGAGTCTTTCTAACTGTTTCAGATTCGATAATTCGTTCAGACGAGCAGGCTTACTTTTGCCGAATCAATGTTGTATAGAAGAAAAGTGTAAAGAAACTAGGTATGTAGCTCAATTAATTATTTATAAATGTAATATTAGAATTGCGTAGTATTTACATGGTTCAAATTATTTTCCAGTTCAATTCGATTATGTCGATCAAAAGTAATTACAATTTTAAATACAATTTCATCGTTATTCGTCCTATTAACGTTGACAGCTTTTATCGCAAGTTTCACTTGCAATGTTTTTATTCTTGAAACCTAGACGAATATTGATAGCGAATGTGATTATTAAAACTGAAAGGAGAATATAAATCTTTATCAATCGCTCGTTACACATTTTAAGGATGTATAGACTATACACTTAAACAATGCTAGCATGTTGAATTTGTTATTATAGATTCCTATTACTATAAAAAAGCTACCTGAAAAATTTTAAATCAATTCGTAGGTTTTTTGAAAAATTATAGTCACTTAAAATTTGCATGCACTCTTATTGATCAGCAGTAACCCAAAGAAAACTTTCTGGTATTTGGTGTGCAAGTTGGAAGAAACAACTCACTTGAGGAAATCCAAGCCTAAAAAGTCTGGAACATTTGACGATTTTTAGAATATATTTGGATATTTTTCGATATTTTGACGAAAAAAAAATTTTCGATTTTTCCGAGATTTTTCCCTTCAGATTTTGCAAAATTTTCGTCTTTTGCCAATAACTTACAAACCGTTGGACTTACGGGAAAATTGCATAGGACCTTTCTTGTAGAGGACGACGAGATCTACAATTTCCATATAAAAGTTTTTCGCTAGCTTCGATAGTTTACGAGTTATTAACGAAAAACGAAAAATCAGTTTTTTGCAAATTACTCGTAAACTATTCACGCTAACAAAAAACTTTTATATGGAAATTGTAGATCTCGCTGTCCTCTACAAAATGATCCTATACATTTTTTCGTAGGTCCACCGGTTTAGGAGTAATTGAGGAAAAACGAAATTTTTTGTCAAAAGTTCGCTGATTTGGCGGTGGAATGGTTGGATTTTCTCAAGACCTATAACATGCCGATTAATCATACTTAACTCATTAAATATCGAAGTTAGGAGAAAAAACAACTTTTATTTGAAGTATTTTTCGAAATTTTTGGGAATACTTTACTTTTAGGATTGACTGTATAGCCAATACATCCTTAATGTTCGTAGCCAGTCAATTTGTTGTTAATAAGTAGTAATCGATCATAAATAACTATACATCTGTTTCCGTTGAACGTAATAAAACAATAGACACGAGGATAGAACGAGTGTCCAAGTGGGAGACCCTTTGAGCTTATACTACTCGAGGCATGGACACAAGTTCCATATACGTCGAAAGTGTAAATCAGGGGACACCAAAGTGGTCGAGTATCGTAGTTGTGCTGTGAAAGAAATGGGATGTAGCTACCCTGTGGACTACACCTTTAACGCTTGAGAAGGAGAGGCGATCGAGAAAACTCCTTCAAAGCATATTTCTTCCATCTTTTATGGGATACAAAAATACATTGGACGCTCGACCTACTCTTTTATGTCTATGAGTAAAACTAATTATAGTTCCTACGCTCATACAGCTACCCAAAACGATTCCCGATTCGAAGTCGAAAATCATTTTTGGTAGCTGTACAGAGCATATTATTACTTGGGAATGATCGAGTAGTTTAAAAAAAAAGATCAAATTGCAATTATGACGAAACTTTACTGATATGCAGACAGTTACAAGAACTGTAATTATTAATTATGTACTGTATACTTATTTTACACGTATTACAATCTAAGAACAGATATGCGTGACAGAATATTGTGCTCCTTCATTTTTACTGCTCCGGCCACTGACACATTTGACATTTATCTTTGAAATTAAGATAGTTTATATTACAATTCATCTTTACGATCATTAAAACATTTCATTTAAAGTTCCTCGTAAGTATTATATGTAATTACAGATAGAATAATTATTATTATTAGTACATTTCGATGATACATGTATAATACATTATGTATATAAAGAGTCTCGCTTTTTGTCTTCTTCCTTTGTGGACGTAAGACTTATTTTGTTAACAATCGAAATATATTTAAACACTTGTGTACCACCATCAAATTCCGAGTTAATTTGTTAACACGTAGATGTAGGATCGCTCAACCGAGATCGCGCCCCTGTGCCATTCGATCTTCCGCCTCGGGCAAAGATCTCTTATACAGCGTTTTTAAACGAAAACACACCGCTTCCACGAAATCGGCCGAGCAATCGAATTAACTTCCTATAGAAATGCGACGATAAAAAAGTAATTCAAGCGTATACTTAAATGGGGAATTTAATAGTCTTTAACGGGTCGATATTGGTACCGGTTTGTCGAAACTTTCGCCTGTGTCTTACTTCCATACCTCTGGGAAACGAGTCTTCCTCGAAATTCAGCGAACGTATCGAGGCTCGACTTCGCCAAACTTTCACGGTATGATCATCACTGGTAGTTATCAAAAATTCCGGATCGCGCGGATTGAAAGCGACGGAGTTAACGACACCGGCATGAGGGAATTTCGCTAGGCATATGCCGTAATGTCTGTCCCAGATGTATCCATGTTTATCTTCGGCACCGCTGGTAATTACGATCTCATTATTGAAAATGTTAGTTAAAATCTTACTGTCAATGCGGATATAATACGTAGAACGTCTCACCTCGCTACGTAATCGTCGCACACGTCGAGAAAGATGTAAAAACACTCGTTGTTCGGTGTATAGGCTTTGTGAGCTCTTAGCATTGTGCCAACTTGCTTCAACGTCACTAGATCGATCACGTGTATGTCGATCTCTTGAGCAATAGGCGGAGGCTGCAACGGATTTGTAATGACGCAGCCTTGTGGCCATGGCCTTGTATTCACGTACAGATATCTGAGGACATTTATAATATCACGTGTATTCGATGTTCATTTGAAACAGCGAGGACGGCACAGTTACGTGACAGGGTTGCAGATTCTTTAATTCGAATATCTTCCAATTAAGCTAATTAAATAATTTTAATTCTTAATTAGTCAAATCCGAATAAAAAACGGGACGTCAATTGCCAATTGGTGTTCAATCGAATTAAAGATTTAATCATTTATTTGCAACCCTGATACATGGTCTGTTCGGGAAGTGTCCGACCTTGTGCTGTAGCGGGAAGAAGTATCATTCCTGGTTAATATCAATGATGTCCTTTGGAAGCCACAACGTTCTTCCAACGATCCTTCCGCTTACGGAAACTCTTCTTAAAATCATCTTTACAAATAACGAACAAAATTCGCCGCTAATCTTTTTCCTTTGAGACGATTTCTTATTTTGGGAGACAAGCAGCAGTCGCAAGGAGTTATACCGAGCGAAGGTGCCATGTTTCACGAAAAATTGTTACACAACTAACATTTACTCAGTCATCGTAAAACGCGATGCTCATGAAGCGCTTTCGAATGACGGCATGCAGGGATCTGTCACATAGCTGTGCAATTTACAGTAAAAAGCAAAACATTTTTGCTCTTTACCGTATTAGGATGCCGCCTCTAATGCGAGCATGCGTTATCTACCCTAGCCCATTCAGGAACGAAGATATAAGCAAGGGTCGAATACTTTACGGACAGACCACGTACTTTGGATTTTTTACTACATACTAACTGCTGACCTATGATCCGGAGAAAGAGCCATTCCTATGATGTGACCGTGCAGATCTATCAAGTGATCCACCTTGTCGAATTGATCGGCTACGGAATCGTAATCCAACCAGTTCACCTCCTCCCTTTCTTGATCTCTTTCTTCCCTCTTCTGTTTGAACCTGTCGCGCAACGAAGGGCCCGGATCCACTCGTTTAGGAAACTTGACGTTCTTTATTCTCTTGAAGCCCACTTGATGCGGCGCGTACGTTTTCGACCCAGTCGTGAATATCAGGTACTTCTCGCCAGCATTCGATAATTCATCATCGCTCTCGACCACTTTCGGCGGTTCTGTAAATTCACACAGTGAGCAGAAATAGTGATCACTCGCAGAGTTGTCGGAGGGACTTCATTTTCTATAGGACCGATAATGAAGGAAGGTAGGGACATCCTCCGGCAACTATTCACTCGATCTGTACACAAATTTTGTTTACCTTTAGGTTCTGATTGATTGCATTCAGAATTTTCATCACTGTCCTCGTCATCCTCCTGCTTACTGCTTTTCTCCTTTTCTACTTCTCTGTATTCCTGATTATATTGTATAGGAGTGGCATACTCAAAACCGTCGCCAAGTTTCTTCCATTTCATAAATCCACCTTCCAGCGTTGTATACCTATGCATATTTCTTTTAATCGGACGGAATTCTTCTATGAACGCGATCGAGTCGTCTGATTAACTTACAGAAAGCTGGACGATGCGTAATGAACTAAAACTAGCGAATTGTCGGAACAAGGAGATGAGACATCATCACTCGTCGAAGTTCCGTTCTCCCCGTTAGCATTGGAAGTTGAAGGTTGCTCTTCGTGTTCGTTTTGCTCGGGTGTCAGACAATTTGCTACCATTATCGCGCGAACCGATGAGGCATTGCGATTATAAAACCTGAAATATGTAAGATTTTCGTATTTTCATGGTGCGAGCTATTTACCTATGCCATCAAAAATAATTTGTCGCATGTGGTACCTAAACAGTTGTGTCATAATAGGTACATGTTCGCTAGATGACTCTTGACTTGCCTTATTAAGCCACAGGAGACTAGTGTTAACTAAATGTGCCAACCAGTATAAATTTCCACTTAAGAGGTAATGTTCACTGTACCATGCACCAAACGTGTCGTTAGGCTTGTTTACTATTCTACATTGCAGCTCGAAATTAGCTGCAACAACAAAAATTAAATGATCGTCCATAATTGCTACTAACTGATCTACCGTTCAGAAATTCACTGTAGAATTTATTTCAGCATTTCACACGGTTTATGTGCATTCATAGGATTTTCGCTCACTGTATTTTGCTAGTAGCTTTGCAACGTCCCTTACGTGATAATTTAAATACAGCAATTTCTCCAGAAATCCCAAGGAAGCTTCCAAAGAGCGCGCCACACACGAGGAGTAAGGTGTCAGAGGAATTGAACTGTGAAAACTGTGTATATTTCCAGTTGAACGTTTTCATGTCGTGAAGGTACTTTATGCTACAAGGATATTTACTTTCCCAAACCTACAACACGAATCGTACAATAAATACACCGTATTATTAATATACGTAAAATGTACAATTGTAAAATAAATGCATGAAAATAGTATCAAAAAGAGGTTTTCGAACATTTTTAAAGGATCAGTAATCTGCAAAGTTTGACGACCCTGTTCTGAACTAAAGTGACTCACAAAAACATATCCGTCCTTCGAACAAGTGGCGAACATTTTTCCATTGTGCGAGAAACTAACGTGCAACACTTGGTGGCAATGTTCCGTAAGTAATTCCGTTTCTATCAGCGGTATATGATATGTTAAACGTTTGAACTCTCCCAGCCAAGAAGTTTTTCCTGCAAAAGTTGCCGTCGATGTAATGATACAAAATATAAATAGATTTTCATGCAAATTATAACAAATGAAAAATCGTGATTTCGACGAGCACTTCTCTCGTGATTTAAATATTGAAGTATTGTATTTTGAAGTGGTCTTTTTCTCAATATTAGGATTTATAAGATCTGCACGTTCCATTTATGAATGCGTTTCTAATTCCGCAGTCTAAATATAATAACAATTACTCTACATCGACGTGAACGGTTCGATTTTATTTTTAGTCCCGGAAAAAAGTACAACCTATTTATAAATAATATAGTAAAACAAACCTGGCTTGATGCCTATGTCCGGGTCTATTTTGTATGTCTGATAGAACAAGTCCTTCCAAAGAAATTCGTCGTGCGACACCCTGTACCACGACTTGCATACTTCTCCAGCAATTGTCAATTCCCGAGGTGTTAAATATTGAAAGATATTCAAGAGAACTGTATCCGGCATGTAATGCCAATCACTTCCTTGGCTCGTTGTCGAACCTTCGCTTTCATCTTCCGATTTATTGTTCGTTTCGTCCGCCTCATGCTTTTCCCCTGAATTTTCTTTGACACTCGTGCTGGTATCCATATCGAAACACTGTATGTATTTACTTTGCTTATCGGAACAGCTGATATCAGTAACGTAAACGGAACGTATACGAGTTGCACCAAAAATCTTTTCAGCTAATCCCGAATTTGAACAAACAGATTAAGATTAGAAGCTTGGATTTATGATTCTTTAACACGAAACCAGTATCACTTCTCGTAACAGCTGGCATTTCTAATTGTTAACGGTATTGTCAGCAGTTTTATCTCGTATCATGCTGGGCTGCCCAGTGCTCACTGTGTCTAGTGCCTTCACTGTCTGACTCTACGATCGCACATCGTATGTTCTACTTGATGAATTTGAAGGAGGACGGTGCATATAGTGGACCTAGTCTACTGCTGCCGAAGACACCTCACCTCAGCTGAAGCAGAGTACATCTAAATCTAATGTATATGATCTGTACCATAATACCAGCTGTGTGTACCTGTAGACAGACTGCAATCTAAGAAGCACACCCTTGTTTCTCTTCCATCAGTTTTAGTTTCAATATAATTATTACATATTATACGAAGGATGTTTTGAAGTTGCCAACGACAGGTGCAATTTCTCCTACCACGGGGAAAGGCACAGATGGTGCACTCTGGAGCTGAGTTTATCAGGCTTGATCGACGTCGGCCCTGCACGCACTCCCCCGTCGTCTTCTGTCACATCCCCCTCGTCATTAAGTCGACTGTGCGTCCTTTAGGTCCATGTTCTACCTCTGTGTTCTACGCCAACAGTCGCCATCTTCTCCCCGTTTCGATCAGTTTCAGTCAGACTCGACTCGACTCTGCTCGACTCGCTTCGCGCCTCGCTCACCGCCGACGTTTCCGCATTTTTTCCCATAGGAACAAACCGTTAAATCGTGTTAATTAATGCTAGTATCATCAGTTTTTCCTGTTTGTCGTTGTCCGGACAGTGTGAAACATGGGAATGTGATAAAATGGAGATAAAGGACCCTCTGTTCTGTGAATGCGTCGGGATAACGTAAAGGAGTGCCGAGACCCGTATATGTAAAGATGTAACGCTGGGCCGCGGTGCCCCTGCTGGCTTAAAACGGTAACAATCGATTTTTCCAATTTTATTCAGAAAAAATACGCATATAGCTACGAGTTAAAAATGTTAGCCGAATGAATTAAATTCGATCGGGAATGTTAGTCACGCGTAGAAGGTGATTGAAATGTGGGGTTTAATTCAAGTGAAGTGAACGAAATTGTAGTGACTTAAATCGAATTGATTAATGCCACTTTCATTCGATCTCTGAATGAAATTCTGGAACTAATCAGCTGACAATCGGAAATTTTCAAAGTCCATAAGTTGTATTAATTCAAATGAAATTCAGACTGTCCATTTATTTTCTTATCTCAATGGAAAGATTGAGAAAAGAAGAGGGACCAAAATTGTTTCAGATTTGTGTATCACGAAAGCTCATTTGAGAATGTTAGTTTTTTTAACGTGTGTTTTATTAAGATGATAAAATAGTTTGAACCTGTTAAAAATAGTTGAGCAATGATTGAAAAACAGCAATTGAACGATATATAATCAGGTTACTCGTTGACAGTTTGACTTGTACTTGAAAGCAATCGTCAAACGCGTACCATACATGCATATACATAATAAATAAGTACATAGATGCGCATAAATATATAACAGCAGCGAGCGGCAGCGGCGGCAGCTACAACTTGTATGACGTCATTAATCGTCATATTGGCGGCCATATTGCCCAATAGTATTCTTTCCCTTAGATATTTCCTTTCTTGTCATTTTTAATCGAATTTTATCATTGACAACGGGTTAACTAGTCGCGAATTATTTGTAATTAAGCAGTATCGTAAAACGATGTTCATCGGTGAATCGTGTGCGGCTAAAGTGAGAATTTATAAAATCGGAACGTTCAGACCCGGTGGTAACAATATTGGAAAAGACGGCCATTGCGTTTGCCGTTAAATAAACGTTAAATCTAAAATAATAATACATCGCGATCGTTTATAAAACGTTATCATTTATAAAATTAACCATTACATCGAATAACTGGAAGAGAGTAAAAAAGGCGCAGCGACGGTCGTAATTTTTCATGGGTTTCCAGTAATTCAAATACAAATGAAAGATAAAGTAATATTTTTAATTACTAATTGCCATAAAATTAAATATATCGAGGTAGAAACGAATTAATGGGGTGGTCCCAAGCAATTAGTTAGTTACGGTTAATTAAGCAAGTGAACGAGTAAAATACAAAGGGGTGAATCCAAGATGGTTACCTTCGCTCTTCGTACATTATTTATTATTCTGCTGTTTAATTTCTTTGTTATTCTGATAAAATCCATGAATAGTTAAGAAATTAAAAGTAGGGCGGGTTCAAACTTATTGAAAGTTAGTTGAGCAAATATGATGCTGGTGTAAAGTTAAAAAGGATCGAAATGGTGACTGTCAGCTATTCCGACAAAATCCATTTCGATACACAACGGACGATTGTTATTTTTATTCTTTAATTATGGCTGCGTAGTTAACTGTTATTAAGTGACGATTTAACTGTTATAGGAAATGTCGAACGAATGATTGCAGATACTTGACGGCGAGGGAGGGAGGAAGCAGGATGGCGGCGGCCAATACGTTTTCTACTTCGCGAGAGGAAACTATAATTAAATGAGCGGACAGTATGCGGTCGTTTAAATAATATTAACAATAATGTTAATCAACATTAGTTGGTGCGGCGGTTAATCATTGACAGTTAATTATGCGGTGGTTAATTGTGGATTTGTCGGTGGAATAATAAAGAGAGAGGGTGGTGGGGCGGCGCGGTGAGAGGGTGGGGGCGAAGGAGGAGAGGAAGATGGCGGCGGCGGCGTGGGGCCACAGCTTCAGCAAGAAGACGTTCCACAAGCCCACCAACTGTCACGGCTGCAGCGACATGCTCTGGGGTCTGTTGCAGCAAGGCTACGTCTGTGAAGGTACCAATCTTTTTTTCATGAATTTAGGTACAGCTGGGGGCAATGAGTCTCGACCCGTGTTTGGCTGCGTTAATTTCCTCTCTGGGGACAAGACCCAAAAATAGTAATAAACTAATGCCCCATTGTTTTCAATGCTGGATTATGTCTACATTTAAGTGGACCACCCTGTATATTTTCTTGCAACGTTTGATCGAGCTCATTTACCCTTCATGGATGCGATCAATTTTAATTAGGTTTTCAGGCATTGAACTCCGAGATTTATTAATTTTTGCGCATAAGAAGCACAGTAGAGGCTCGGATAGCTTGTTAGGATCGGCAGGCCCGAGGGACAATACTTCAGCTAAATATCTTAACGCAATGTCTTGACTAAAAGAAATTTCAATCCGCTCCGACACCCTTTTAATTGATTGCCATAAATGTTTTATTTTGCATGAAGGTCACCAAGTCTATTCATGATGTTCAATAACAGAAATTTTAACCGTTTCTCGATAATTTATTTCAAAGATTATTGATTATCTAAAATAATGCATGCCCTCTCTAAATATAACTAGAAATGCGTTCTTAAATAACTGCGTAAGGGCCAATAAATCAATAATTCATACTAATAAGAAAGACAATGTCCACAACTATAACTATAAAGTAGTACCTTGGTTAATGGCGACCCTAGATAACGGCGAGCGGCTGTATGAAGCACGAGAATACACTGTTAGGGCTTTTACTCTCTCATGTAATCATATCGTAATTGTGAGTCGAATAGACTACAGCCACGCGTATTGAATTATGACGACGGTTTTCATTAACGACGGTAATCCATTTTAAGACTTGTCTATTGATTTAAACTTAAACAAAAAACCGTCCCTTGGTACCACCATACATTTAAGTTAAAAGCAATAGGTAAATCCTGGAACGGATTGGTACCTTTGTACGACCGTGCATTTAAGTTGAAATCAATAGGTAAATCCTGGAACGGATTGGTACCTTGGTACCATCGTATATTTAAGTTAAAATCAATAAGCAAATTAAAGTAAATCACATGTTATTGTTAATTGTTTTTGCAGTTTGTAATTTTGTGGTGCACGACCGCTGCCTCAAGACCGTCGTCTCTCCCTGCTCCAGCATCGCTGCCAGCCTCATCAAAGTAAGTATTAATAATTCCAATAAACGATTAACGGGAAGCTTTAAAAATACGAGACAAATGGATTAGAGACCGGCTGCCTTATTCCATCCATAGTTTACATTTTTCATTTTAGATTCTCAGCTGGAAAATAATTAATTACGATTGACGCTTGGTTACATAGTTTTTCTTTGTTTTAGAATCCGGTGGCACATTGTTGGTCCGAGCCAGTCCATTGTAGAAAAAAATTCTGTAATGTTTGTCGCAAGAGGCTGGACGATAATCTATCCGTACACTGCGAAAGTATGTTTATGGATCGTTAGATATGCTTATCAAGGATTAGTCTCTGACTTTTTTTCAAATTAAACCGTGGCAGATTTATATCGTTCCCTTTTAATTCCTAGTATGCGACTACTTCGTGCACGCGGAATGCCAAGATTTCGCTGTGGCCGATTGCAAGGAGAACGCCACCTACCTCCCTGGAAAGGATTTGTCTCAGGTGAAGCACACCCATCACTGGCGCGAGGGAAATCTGCCCAGTAACTCAAAATGTGCTGTTTGCAAGAAGACCTGCTGCTCTGCGGAGTGCCTCTCGGGATTTCGGTGCGAGTGGTGCGGACTGACGGTCAGTATATCGATCGACTTCTTTACGATTTTCAGGCAGTTCTATTCCTACGTCACTGATCAGAACGATGTATAATTTACATTTACACTTGACTTTCTTCGTACGAATGCGTATTTCCTCCCGATTAACAAATCTCCAGAATCTTGTGCTGAACTTCTTCTAATTTTTCAGCTGCACTCGTACTGTCACAAGAACATACCCCCGGAGTGCACTTTCGGTATTCTGGAACCGATTTACCTGCCCCCGCATGCTGTCAGCATTCCCAGAACCGAAGTCCCGATGGAAGCCATAATCGGCGTCCAGGTGCGACGGAAAGAAGTGTTGGCGCGTGAGTATTCCTGCCGTAAGTGTCTATACACTTGATAAAAGATATTATACAGAATTACCCCTTTCCATTTAAACATTGCCAATATTGTACATATATAGTGACTCTCATTAAGTTGTGTGATCTGATATTAATAAGCTTATTCAATTTTGACAAAGGGAATTAATGGGAGTTACTGCACGTAGAATCAGTTGTTATTCCTAGTCAGAAGTAAATAGATCTCCCAATGTAGCAAACGCTAAATAGGACCATGCAGGTAATAGCACTGTACGCGTCGTATGCAACAAGTATTATTCAACAGTTCCTATTGTTCGCACCCTCAGAGGAAAGTTCTCCGGACATCTTGTATTATTTTTTATAGGGACTCGCTAAACCGTGACCGTTCCTGGACTACTAAATAGTTCTGACTAGGAAATATTAGAGTATCTTCCCCAGTAGAAATACTTTACCGACAGAGTGCACGTGCCCACAGGTGTTGTATTTCAAACAAGTCCTTTTACGTTTCTTTTTATGAACAGTTATTTTTCCTTTACTAAATTTTTGGTAAGCTTGTCAGAAGAAAATCCATAGGTCTTCGCGCCAGCTTCTATTCGTTGAACCGGTCCACCTCGTCGGGTTCGAAAATGTACTCCGCGAACATGAATTTACGAATCTCACAAAGAACAATTAGGCTCGTCCGAAATGTACCCTGAAACTTTGTGGTAAGCTTGTCAGAAACAAAACATAGGCCCCTATGTTTGCTTCTATTTGAAGATAACCACTCGAACGAACGCGAAAGTGGTGGCGGGGATCGTCTAGCAGAAGTTTTGAGGAGGCTATCGATTATTTTGCCGCGTAGCTGCCACGGGAATTGTCGTGCCTCCCCCCCGTATGTCCGAGGTATTCCATAAAATCCAGCAATCGTCGTTTTTATTTAAACAAAAAAAAACAAAAGGAATGTTCTGTTGTTACCTCTATAAACTTGTTGTAAAAGATTTGAAAAGGGATGCAAGAAATTAGCATTTTCTTATCAATCTTTTGTCATGCTGCTTTCTCATATTTTCCATTTATTTAAACGAGCCTACAAGCTACGGGAATTTAATCTATGCAGCTCGATTAAACTAAACAAGAATAGAGATACGATTATAGAAATAGAAAACGAAGTGACACTGCTCAGATGAAATTCCCCGGGCCGTTTATACCAAGCTTCTAATTTATCACTGTATTCTCTTTCTCTCTCTCTCTCTCTCTGTCCCTTTTTCTTTATTTGCTGTTGCTACTGGGAGTTGCTTTTTTAACGCAGAATTGGTATTAATTTGACTGAATGAATGTTATCCATTAACCCTTGATTATTATCGATTTACTAATCCTGATTAAATCAGAACCCTAATTGATATGTAATTGTACTTCTTATTGATGTTAGATTTAAATAAAAATGCCAAAAAAGACACTTTCAGTGCGGGACTCTGTCATTAAATTAATCGCTCTGTCGGTAGGGTGTTCCGTCACCAAGGAGCTTGTTAACACTCTCAGTCGGGAACGAACACGTACGGGAACTTTTTTCAAGTCCATCTATTATATAAATTAACTTTTATTACATTGTTATTAGTTTAGGAACATTTTACAATTTTTCTTTTATTCCTCCCATTATAACAATCTATATACAGGGAATTCTTTTATATTGTACACTAGCAAAACGCTATATTAGTTAAAAAATGATTAAATCAAGTAATAATGAATTTTCTAGGATTTTCCATTCACTGATTATGATGGAGATTCGCAAAGTTCCGCACTGAGAGTGTTAAACGTCGACCTCTTTTTCCTTGCAATCTGTTCTGACGTTAACTACTCTTCTCTTCTTACCCGCGTAATGCCTGAATCCCAAATTTCCGTTCCTATCACACAGCCCGAAGTATTTCGGAGGAATTCAGCAGTGGAGATAACAAGTACCGCGACAACGGGGAACCAGGGCCGGGAAGTACTCACAGCCGGGATCCGAGGTCTCCCAAGGAAAAAGAAGACAAAGAAAGAGGTGACGAAGGTATTTCCATACATAGATACGTTACAACATTTCGTCCGTCTTTTTAATCAATTTTTTACTTTGCCAATTCGATCGTTCTACTCTTTACTGATCAAAAGAACTGTTTATCGGACGTTACTTTTATTTCACTGTGCCATACAGAGACGATCAAGGTATACGATGGGAACAGTTCGTTGAGAAGAAGGATATTCAGGGTAATAACTGTTCCGAGGCAAGCTACGAAGGAACAAGTGCTCACCTCTGCTTTGAGAGCGTTTCACATTACTAAAGATCCTAGTGAGTATCATCCAGTTTATAATTATCAAACTGCAGGTTTTATGCAATTATGCAAACATATTATTTAGGAAACTGAGGATTCTAACATTATTGGTCCAATATTAAAAAAGTTGTTCTGTTTTGAAATGTGTCCGAATAATTAATGGGGGCCATTATACGGAGACTGCGGATATTTTATAAAAACATTGAATGAAACGCTGAAATTGTTGATTTCTTCGATGCTGCTAGGCAACTTTTACCTCACGGACTCGTACGCGTCGGACGAGATGGAGCTATGCGACCCTACTCCAGTTCTAAACTTGAATCGCAAAGAAGGAAAACGTCCGGCTGTCTTCTTACGATTCAAGTAAGTTCTTTCACGCTTCGATTCTTATTACATCGTAATTGACCGATTATTGTTCGCCAAATGAAACGGGAGACGTTTAGATTGAATTCAGGTAGGCAATAGTTTCTAATTGTCGTATCATAGGGACACGGAAACCGGAGAAGTAAGGGTCTACCCAGGGAAACTCCAGGTGTCCGATTCGTTCTGCATAGTTCCTGTAACTGAATCCACTACGATATCCGATTTGATTGACGAATCCCTGCAGAAGTTTGGCTTGCAAAATTTCAACTCCGAGGACTATCGCTGCAGCGAGATTCTTTTAGACCGTGGAGGTAAAGAAAAAATATACATATATATGTTTAAATTCGACGTTTCGTCTTACACTTCGACATGTAATTGCAAATGCTGCTAGACACCATGTATTTAATAGAACTAGTGGTGGAATTATAGTTTGCTGCTAGCTCAAAGTCTATTCTTAATCTTCTCTAGTGACCGAGAGAGTCTTGTCGCGCGAAGAGAAGCCGTGGGAAATCGTGAAACAGCTCGGAAAGGATTCGATAAGGCAAATGGAGTTGATGCGGTTCTATCTTCAACTGAAACAGGATCCCCACGGACCGAATTTGGCGCTATTCGTGGGAAATTTACCACCGAATCTCTCCGAGAGGATATACGAGAATATGCTTACTGAATTCCTTGGGAAAGGTAAATATTGTTAAAATTAAACGACAAATCTTTTAACGTTGTATTATAGAAAAATTATATATTCGAGTGACAAGAGTAAATCAGAGTTCCTTCAGCTTGTTTAATTTTTCACTTAGAAAACAAATTTTCCTACATTGGTCCAATTTATTACGAATACGGATCGATGGTGATCATCTACGAGGACTCTGAGAAGGCCGTGAGAGCACTGTACGCTTTGAGGGAATCCAAGTACGAGGACAAACACCTTTTAGGTAAGTTTTCTCTTTTAGTAATCACGAAAGTTACACGACTTTTCGTTTTTACTAACTTTCGATTGCATTTCTTGAAGTTATGCTGCTACCCAGTATCGAGCCTAGCATGGTTCCGTCTGGAGTTCAACCTCTGCTAGTGTTCGTTAACGTGAAATCCGGTGGGTGCCAAGGACTACAACTGATATCAAGTTTCCGAAAATTGTTGAATCCCTATCAGGTTTTCGATTTGGACAATGGCGGTCCATTGCCAGGGTGAGCATCGTTGATCTAACTTTTTTTTTGTCACACTTTCACAAAGCGTACCATTTTGTTTCTTTTTGTTTCGTTCCAGGCTGTACGTCTTCCGTCACATAAAGGACTACAAAATCCTCGTTTGCGGTGGCGACGGGACTATCGGCTGGGTTCTTCAGTGCTTAGACAACGTCGGCCAGGACAGCGAGTGTTCTTCCCCAGCTTGTGCCATAGTTCCTCTGGGAACTGGGAACGATTTAGCAAGAGTTCTCTGTTGGGGATCCGGCTATACCGGAGACGAAGATCCTTTAAATCTTCTTCGAGATGTGATAGAGGCCGAGGAATCGCTTTTAGACAGGTGGACGGTGGTCTTCCATCCGGAGGAGAAGGAGAAGGAACAAACGGCAGGCAACAGTAGCGGTGAGCGATCTCTCGGTTGAATCGAGGATTCGACTGAATAAATTGCTAGAAAATTTGTCAAGGAGATTCGATACCGAAATAACAATTATTTGAAAACTATTTCCATCTATCTGGGAGCTAATCTTGTATGTGGGTGTATCTAACGTCGTATGAAGTTTTAAAACTGTGTCCAGTATAAAAATAATTTTCAAATTCCTTATCATTTTTGTTTCGATATCGAACCTCCATCAGCAACTTCTTTATTCATTTGGATAATTGCAGGAGCAGGCACAAGCGAGGACAACACTCAGATCTTTGTCATGAACAATTATTTCGGCATCGGTCTGGACGCAGACCTTTGCCTCGATTTCCACAACGCCAGAGAGGAGAATCCGAATAAGTTTAAGAGCAGATTAAGGAACAAAGGAGTGTACGTGACCATGGGCTTAAAAAAGATGGTCAAGAGGAAGCCATGCAAGGACCTGCACAAGGAAATACGACTGGAAGTCGACGGGAGACTAGTGGAACTGCCTCAAGTGGAAGGAATCATTATTCTTAACATCTTGAGGTACGTCATCAAAGATCGTCCTATTAATTGCTTTTCTAAATATCTTTACGGTGATTTATTACAGTTGGGGTTCCGGTGCAAACCCCTGGGGGCCCGACACCAAGGAAGATCACTTCCACACGCCTAATCACGGCGATGGGATGCTGGAAGTGGTGGGCGTAACCGGAGTAATACATTTAGGGCAAATCCAATCGGGATTGAGAACGGCGATGAGGATAGCTCAGGTAACATTGAAAATAAAGTTAGACGTAGAAATCTTGAGACACTTGAAGGTAACAAAAGAACATTTCTCAAGGGTGGACACATAAAAATCCATTTACACTCGGATATTCCGGTCCAAGTGGATGGGGAACCCTGGGTACAAAGTCCTGGAGACGTCGTCGTACTTAAATCAGCCCTAAAGGTGAATCTCGAACACCCTATATCTGCCAGAAATTTTATAGGAGGTATATTTTATACGCGGTATGATTCCCTCAGGCAACGATGCTGAAGAAAACGAAGAACAAGATGAAGAGGAGGAATACAGAGTCGAGCATGCAGTTGTCACTTCAAGCCGCGCCATCCAACGAACCGGAACCAGAGGTGTTCTGAGCCCGGATCGAACGTCACCAGAGAATGATTAAAGCAAGGTAGTCGTAACACAGCGAGTAACTGCGAGCTACGATTAATGATTGAAATTCGATTTTGAGGGGGAAAATCAGTTCGAATTTCAATTATTATTGAAACATTGAATCGAAGTTAAATGATCATGAGAAAGTACCTACGCTTGCCTCCCTTTGTAAATGCCACAAAAGAGCTGTTAACATCGTTATTGCCTTCGATTTTATTTCTCGAGGAAACGAACCAGCTCTTTTGTGTAAATTATAACGGGACGTTTCACGCAGACGGACAAACCGGCACAAATTGAACGAAATAGCACAAACGTGACGGAGCTGCAAAGCACAAACTACGACGCAGCAAAATTTTACCAAAAAACGATGAAGAAAGAATGGAAACTAGTCGAATCTAGTCAATGGAATTTAAAATAATAGTCCTTCGATGTATTACTTATTACCTGATTTCTAGGAGAAAGATCTCATTTGTGGTTGTTACTAGTCACTGAGAAAATTTACGAAGCCACTAGACAGAACGTGTCGCCCGAACTAAATTGAAACTCGATCCTTTATATACTTGTAAATGAATCTGTTCTTAGATTCTAGAGGAATCAGGGATATCCGTTACTTCACTTGTGGATATTCTACTATTCTTATTCCTCATTCAGCTCTATCCTAGACGGGATGAACTGTGAGACGGTTTGAGAGAAATGCAAAACGGGTGGTAACAGCCTCTCATGTAATAGTTTTCGGTCTTTAATGCTTTTTCTTTTCAACGTTATCGTTGTGTTACCGCTTTTCACAACATAAGGAACAGAAGAGATAGTTAGACGACCTTCTTCAGCCGTGATAAAGCATGGAATAAAATAGAAAACTTAAATTTATCCAAGAAAAATTAGTTACGATGTTTGATGAGGGAAATTTTTTTACTATCGATCTACACATTTACTATACGAACGGAACTGTCCGTCTTGGATTTCTCTTAGACCGCAGTTACTTTTTCCGACAGGAGTTTAGGATTTATGACTCCAGTGAGGATGGAGCTGAATGCGATTCCTACCTCTTGGTCACAGGAACGTTCCCTTGTACTTTCGTTTCCTCAGCGTCTAGTGGCTTCTCGTCTCAGCTCCAATATTTTTCTATATCTTTTAGCGAGATAAGTAAGAAATAAGATGAGAGAAGGGGAAAGCGCGATAAACAGTATATTTGTTCTTATTTACTTATTTTTATCAGCAATAGAGTTACTTATCTGATCGAAGGAATTTCGCTAACAGAAGAAAATCTATGAACAATGGCCATCTTTAAACAAAAATTGTCCAGATGAATTCTTAGAAAAAGTAAACGATATGTCTCGAGAAAGACAACGGCTGGATTGTTAATCGAAAAAAATAATAATCTATATATGCGTAATGTACGTACATACGCATATGCAGATGCACACATAATATATTTATGAGTAAATATTAATATACACATATATATTTACAAAAGAGAGAAGAACTAGTGTTAATTATAAATAATACCGTATAAGTGTTTAAGTTGTGATAAACAAGAAAAGAAACAAAAAAAGAACAAAGTCTCTGGCTGCTGGGCAGTCTGGAATTTATAAAGAGAAACGATGAATAATGTTTAAACGAGTACCAGTGGCAGTCAGTCTCTTTCCTTTCTCTTTGAAATGGCAGCGATCATGCTAATAATTAAAATTATCGAATTACTGGTCGGTAAGTTGTTGATTATTGATATTTGAAAAAGGAGAGGCCAATTATGAGAACGTCTTAGATTTGTTCGAATCCGTCTGTTATTTAATTTGTAGAGAAAGTGGCCGACCATAGACACGTGAGGATAGACCGAAAGGAAGGAAATTAACGGGAGAGAGAAATAAGCTCCTGGAGACCAAAATACGCGTTGGGTGTTCGGTCTATTTTTTCATGTCTGTGCGGGACGCAGAATTTTCGCGATGATAATCGACGGGTTCGGAACTTATCGACCTTTAACTCAACCGATCTTCATAATCGCCGCTATTTTATTCTCTCTCTGCATATACCTAAAGTAACGCGAAAATACATTCCGCTTTATTTCACGAATTTTGAAACAGAGACGCCGGCGCATTGTACATTTCTAAATCCAAATGCCAAAAAGAAGAAGCTGTTTGGACACAAAAAAAAGAGAGCTAAAATACTAAAGATGGCCCAATAAAGATATATGTACTATGTATGTGTGAAATGATAAAAACGCTTCGATCTATTCGAGAAACGTTACCACGATTTTCCATTCGACAGAAATGGAGCAACAAGATAGAAAAATGTTAAAATCTTTTCTGGTGCCAAACAGTTGTAAATAATATTGTAAATGTAAGTATATGAAGAAAAAAAAAAACAAATGAATCGTTATTATTGAAGGTACGATTGGATTGGAATGAAAAATCAGAGATAGAAACCGGAGGAGATTACCGATGAGCCGATTTAATCGTTAAACGGGCTCATTGGCGATCTCCCTGCTCATCTTTGTGAAAAACCGTGTTTACGCGTCTTGGAGAAAATTCTACAGGACTCGAACAGCTTCGTATCCCTACGAACGTTGCTATATTTTCTTTTTATACGTCACAGTATACAGTATTGTTACTTTTTTCATTTGCCTCTCGTGCAAGTCGACACTGGAGCGTTCTTATTTTCATTTCGTTTTCATCGATATGCTTTTCTGGAGGCCACTATTTTCCGGATAATGGTCACGGGCCTCTTGATTCTTTTCATTTCCTAAATAAAGATGACAACCTGCCAATGATGATCGGCAGGCGATCGTGGTCCACGCATCCGGATGAAAAAGAAGGATCACGGTCACGTCATTTTCTGGCAGATTGGAGCATCGCGTTATATCGTTAAACAAATGGTTGAAAGACTTTAAACGTTCAGACTATCTTTCAACCTGATTTGATTCTTGTACGATTCTTTATGATCTTATTATTTATTACCTCGATATTTTGTGATAAGAGAAAGTTGTAAAGAAAAGAAAGGATAACGCTGACCATTCCAAATGTAAAAGAATTTTGTTAGCGACACGTAAATTACGGTTTGGAAGAAGTTGGTGGGAGATATTAATTAATTAAATAAATTAATGTAAACACTATTCGTTTAATGTTCTTATTACCCGGTCTCTTCCACTTTCTTTACACTCTTTTTATATACAAACGGTTAAATCATTACTCTTATCGACAATGGCAACTATAGAAAGAAAGAAAAACAGCCAACAATGTTAATCACATTAATTATAATTGTAGTTTCTTAATAGATTAAGCGTTTAGTAAATCATCATCGCTGTCAGTTTGGCATTGAGTCGGATCAATGTCCAGTAAAAGTCGAGCCTCTTCAGTGGTATTCACCTGAAATAACTAATATTATAAACGACCAATCATTTATTCGTTTGTCAATCGTTTCGTAATAATTACCCTGCAATATTGAACTCTCCCGTTGTCTCTCCTCGAGTTAAATAAATTGTAACAAGACTTGAAGCATGCTCTCTTATCCGGATTCCGGAAATAGATAAATGCTGATATCAGTGCTACGATTGTTAATGTTATACCTGCTATCGTCCCGGCTGAAACATAATAATAACTCGTTACTGATTTTCATTTTAAATTGCTAATCCATCACAGAAAACGATCCTGAGTACAACACTCCTTCGTCATTAGAATACTCTGTTTCTCATTATACTTACTGTGACTAGAAGAAGAAATGATCGGAGTAGCATTATTTTCTCGCGAATTCGGGTAGGAATTTCCAGAGATAGAACTGCTACAGGAACAAGTGACGTTCGTATGCCATTCGAATTCAGCACTGCACTCTGATTCCTGAAAAACAAAAATAGTAATGAAATTTCTCTGTAAACGCTTATCGCAAAGAATTCCCAAAGCTCGAGATAATGTTAGATTTTAGATAGCAATAGAATTTATATATATATATTATAGCTGACTAGCAAAAATGATAATCGAACTTCCCCAAGTTTCTCGCACGTAAGTGCTTATCGCAAATGATTCTCAAGTGTAGTTATAGACAGCAATAGGACTTGTGTACAGATGATAGTAAATATACATATACATAGGAGGGACATTCCCTGATCGTGTCCACCTCCTGCGTCATCTTCCCATTACCCACTCTTCTTTCCACGACATGGAATGTTCATTTAATTCCGGACCCGGTTTATACGCATACACAGAAAATCTGGCGCGTTCTCTATCTCTCCATCTTCAACACTTTCCTCGCTACTTACTTAGACATACGTGAATATGTACGTTTCCCATGTGTGGGTGGGAACCAAGTCCGGGATTCAATCAGCCGCAGTATACGGATACGTATATAAGTATGTACTGTCGCAAAGTATTCGATTATCACGCAGTACGTAGGCATTCCACCATATTGAGGCACGCTCGATAGGTCTATACATAATATGTAAACGAACTTAGACCGTGATAAGTGATAATCGACAGTGCATTTATTAAATTAACTAATTAAACGTCGTCGTGACATAACGAGTGTACCATTAGAATCCGAGGATTATTATAAAGTGAATTAAATTCTGTGAGATGTGGTGACTATCGGTGTGATCAAGCATACCGATCGATTTCGATATCGTCCAACGCCATTTTTCTTGTTTTTATCAAAAAATTCAAAACAAAAAGATTAGACGCTTCAACTTCTAGTCTGTTAATTAAATACGACGATGCGTAAAGTGATGTTAAAAATCTGTTAAATTTTTCTATTATGGGAAGAAACGGTGGAATAATAAGTAAACGTGAATTTGAGTTTATGATGTGTTTGTACGTATCTGTATAGACGTTCACGTGATCAAACAAGTTGTGTTTGTGCACGCTCGTTCCTGGAAAAGAAAAAAAGTAAGAAAAACCCGAAGCGACGGGGTAATAAACAGTGGCGAATAAATGTCAAGAATATTTAAGCTCGATTTTTACGAAACTTTAGAGTTTCATACTTTTTCCTAAAGCTTTTAATAAAGAAACAAATAAGGAAAACTCAAAGCAAAAAAGAAATATCGAATTATTCTCGACAGTATTTGCTACACGTTGAATTATATAAAATGTAATTAGAATAATGCGATTATCTCGATTTTGACGAAACTTTAGAGTTCTATATACTTTTTCTGAAGGTTTTTAATAAAGCACTATGGTCCATCGATATTGGATTTTCCAATGGATCCTCTGGATCTTCTGGACAACAGGAATAAGCAGAGGATCGGACGTTCAATGTCCGACCCAAGGAAATTGCACCTGCATCCCGACGTTCACTAGAGATTACCAAATAGAATGTAGAGATCAGACGAATTCGGCTTTTGTATTCTACGTGCAACCAAATGAACACTTGAGAGTAAGTGCCAACAGTTACACGAATTGTATAAGTACGGATAATGAAACGACAGAAATGTTTCTTTTTCAAATTTCCTAATTCTCGTTTTGGTCCTGTACAATAAAAATTCTGTTACATGAACACCGAGAAACTGATTATTGTTATAAAAAAAAGTTTTAAACGAAAGCTGTAGAACTTTGATGATGACATTTGATTTTAATGTTGTTTTGACCCCAGGTCATGCTTACTTAGCTATACCGCGGATTGTTATGCTTATTTTCAACTATTTCAAAACTTTTGCGCTCGATAATCATTCACAACAACATCTCTTTTATTATTAATATTAAAAGTATCATTAATAAAAAAAGAATTATATTTTCAGATCGAATGTCAAAATTCTCCGAAATGGGCCGACTTCCCTGTATTAAACGTGTTACGACCGATGAAAATGAATTACTTGTCGTTTAGAATATGCGATCTGCCCACGAACATTAGTCTGGGAGAGATATCGAGATCATTAGGCGTACTCGAAACAAAGAAATTGACATTCCAATCTTACGGCAATTTGACCTCGAAGCTTACCAAAGAACACCTCTCAGGCTATCCAGATTTGCAAAGACTGACCTTGTCCAGCAATAATTTGACCAAACTCCCTCGAAATCTATTCGAAAATATACCGAAACTTGTCTGGCTCGACCTGAGGGAGAACAATGTACAACTGCCCGCCGGGATATTCAAAAGCACTCCAGAATTGGAGGTCTTAGAATTAGGAGATAACAACATAGCAGAAATACCTCAAGGACTGTTCAGCTCCTTAGGCAAACTCAGATTTTTAAATTTATGGCGAAACAAATTCAGAAAATTGCCTGCAAAAATATTCGACAAGTTAGATTCTCTAAATTCCTTAGATTTAAACTCTAACAACTTGGAGAGTTTGCCCAAAGGAATTTTTCACGATTTAAAAAAGTTGGAGACCTTGAATCTGTTTATGAACAATTTTTCTCAAAACGGTTTACCCGAAGGTTTGCTAGAAAAGACGAGTAAGCTTAATACTTTTAAACTTTACAGTAATAAAAGAAATCTGACCAGTCTACCTAAGGGCTTTCTCGCCAATCTGACTCAGCTGCATACGGTCGAATTAAAAAGAAACGGATTGGTAGAATTACCCGAAGATTTATTTTACAATTCTGTAAACTTGGTCAATATTAGTATACAGAGAAATTATTTAGCGCATCTGCCTGAGAGGTTGTTTTCTGGTTTAAGGCAGCTAAAAAGATTGGAATTAAATTTTAATGAATTGACGACACTGCTGGACGGAACGTTCGAGGACTTGGAAAGTCTAGAGTCGTTGAACCTGTCGAGGAATCATCTGGAATCGATTTCGAGGTCTGTTCGATCACTTAACACTGGTCAGGATGCGTTGATGAGGCTTTAAAATGCGTTTTTGTATCTCTAGAAATCTGTTGAGGAGCTTAAGATCGCTAAAAACGTTGGATATGTCTCGAAATCGTTTAAAAATCATTGAGGACACTAGCTTCAATTACCTGGACAATCTACGGGTCGCAATATTTTCAGATAATCAGTTAACATTCAATACGTCGCCGTCTTTCTTCCACGAGTTTGGAAAGAATTCACCTTTCCATGCTTGCATAAATCTGGAGGAATTGCATCTGGCGAGAAATAATATAACAGAGATATTCAACGATTGGGTCGTAATCACCTTAAAATTGAGGATTCTTGATCTGAGTCACAATCAGATTCCTCAAATAGTGGTATGTCTTTATATAAATTCAGACGTTTTTCAAAAGTTATAGACGATAACATCTATTTAGTAAATTAATTTCTCGAGTGTACTTATTTAACTTAAAAGAAATTCTCATTATTTTTAAGGCGGAAGATCTTCAATTTTTGTCGAACAACATTCGAGTGGATCTCCGTGACAACTTGATAAGACAAATATCTTTGGCAACAGCAGAAAGAATCTCTAGATTTCAAATGAATCCCCGTGATGTCATTATACTCGTCGACCGTAATCCTTTAGATTGCGATTGCGAGGTTTACAATTTGATTCGATACCTGGAAGGAGATATGCCGTTCGCTTCGAATTATTTTCACATTGAAATAGATAATCTAACATGCGAGAGTCCACAGTGGCTGAAGAACGTAGCAGTCAGAGATCTTAAATCAAAGTACTTTAAATGCGAAGTCGAGGAACCCTGCCCGTCAGACTGCAAATGTTACAGCGAACCGAAATATTCAGAATTCGTTGTAGATTGTTCTTACAAAAATTTAATGAACCCACCGAATGAAATCAAGAGCCTGGAGGGACACCGACTGGTCGTCGATTTAACCGGAAACGGATTAAAAGATTTGAACTGGCAATTAGGTGCTGATACGGAGATGTATAAATTATTATTGGGGAACAATAGTTTAAGGGAGCTGGACTCGAAAGAACTACCTAAAAATTTGAGTGTGCTCGAACTGCATAGTAACAACCTGACCTACTTGAGCCCTTCCACTCTCCGTTACTTAAGTCACAGCAATTTATCTGCTATAACTTTGGACGACAATCCATGGGAGTGTAATTGCAATTCTCTCGATTTCCTGAACTTCATCCAAACGAAAATCAGTACTATTTCCCAATCGGATAGAATAAGGTGCAGAAATCGTAACAAACCTGTGATAAAGATGATAGCTGCCGATTTATGTCCAACGAATACGACCACGATAATGATCATATGCGGAACGGTAGCGCTTTTGGGAATAATTTTCGGATCTGTGGCAGCGCTCTATTACAGATACCAGAAAGAGATAAAAATATGGCTGTATTCACATCAAATTTGCCTGTTCCTAGTCACGGAAAATGAGTTGGACAAAGACAAAACGTACGACGCGTTCATAAGTTATTCTCACAAAGACGAAGAGTTCGTCGTAAACGAGTTGGTGCCGAAACTGGAGAACGGTCCTCGGAAATATAAACTGTGTCTCCACTTCCGCGATTGGTTGGCAGGAGAATGGATACCTAATCAAATTGCAAGATCCGTCGAGGATTCAAGGAGAACCGTAGTCATCTTATCGCCAAACTTTTTGGAGAGCGTTTGGGGTCGTATGGAGTTCAGGGCTGCCCACAGACAAGCCTTGACCGAAGGACGAGCCAGAGTTATTCTAGTTCTCTACGGAGACATCGGGAACACCGAGGATCTCGATCCTGAATTAAAAGCTTACATCAGCATGAACACGTATGTCAAATGGGGAGATCCCTGGTTCTGGGATAAATTGAGATACGCTTTGCCTCACTCTCAAAAGAACGCAAATAGGATATTCGCGAGGAACAAGCCGACTATACAGATTGGTGAAAAGAACGAACTGATTTACAACGCTATTAACAAATCGCCAACGACTACCACCCCACCGGCTGATGCTATCAACATTAAATTCATATGTGACGATAAGAAAGACCTGAATGGTGAGAAATCGCCAAACAGCAAGACCGCATTTATACTATCTTCGGAAGAGCTGATTAAGTATAATTTGAAGAACAAAGTACAATGTAGCACTGTATGAGTGTACCAGATTTCTCGACACATGTGTACAAGGAACTTGTTGATTATCTGACTTAATTTTTATATCGTTTTGTACATAGACAAACAAGATACTCTAGTATTGTATATACTACATAGATAGATACGTCAATGCTCATAATAAATAATGCTCATAATAATAATTCACTGTATGTAAAGCATTCAATTAATGAATTTATCAAAATCTAAGAATGCTTCCTATTCGATCAAATTTCGATTGAACGAATGACAAGTTGTTTCAAATGATAAGAATATTTAGCAACACTGAACAGTTGTATATTAATAAATAAAGAATCTCTTTCTATTAATCGTGGTACTATTCTATTACTTTTCCACTTACAGAAAAAGAGAAAAAAGGTAGAAAACTCTAAATACGACGAAGCGCAGAAAATATTAAGCATAAAGAAAGTCGTGAACTGTGAATAAATAATTTTTCCACTTACCCATAACAGCTCCGGGGTACCGATTCCTATCATCTTTGTACAAATCAATCTCACTTCCGACGTGTAGGAACCTAATTAAAAAAGCATTTAATACAAATTACAGGTTGATGTTAAAAATATTTCGCTCGGTCGTGTTAATAGACTTAGAGAGTGTAACTTCGGGTACTCACTCTTGTCAGCGCATTTACCGCCGTTAGTGTACTGAATCTTGATCTCGTCTCTCCCGTAATCGAAAATCACGCTTCCGATGGAACCATAATTGTTATTGTTATCATCACAAATAGCGGAGTTACAGCCTTTCGATGTCGATTCTTTATTACTGTTGCAAATCGATATATTGTATCCCTTTCCCTGCTTACTTTTTACCTAAAAGAAAAATTACACGGCTAATATAATAAATAGATCGGGAATTTTATGAGTTATTTACTATGCATTCTATCGAAATAAGAACACGTACAAATATGTACTTACATGATATACTTTCTGTAATAAAGACAAATCGCATTCGTGCGACGGATCTTTAATTATGCAAGGCGAAACCCAATTTCCCATTACTGCGCCACAAGTCAGCCTCGTTTTCCATTCAAATACATAAGTACAGTCTTCATATTTTTTAAATTCTGGTAACTGCTACAAAATTGTGTAAACATAAGTTTCATCACATCGTCGCGCCAAGCGTTTGTATAAACAGTTGAAGCAGATTAATCGCTGAGACGATTACCTTGTCACTGGTATCACACGGAAATGTGATATTAGACGATATCAATCTTTTCTCATTCTCTGGACAGGTTGAACCGTCTGTGTAACGTAACACCGTTTCGTGATTATCGTTAATTATAGGACTCTCTTTCGGGAATCCTAAACTCTGCGAATCGAAACATTAAACATTATTAACGATACAGTGGTAAAATTGTTGTGGGGGCTTTTTCACTATTTCAAAAAATGCATATGGCTTTTTATAAAAACGGTTTCCTATCCCTGATATAGACAATACTCACTGTTTCGTTCGTTACAGGTACATTCCCATTGGTACCTGAAGATACTTTACATACGGCGCTCCCATCGAATACACACTTCAAATTTGTGTGCGGATTCGAGACCAACGGTCTACACACATTTATGTAAAACTCAGTTTTGTTCATTTTAATTACATAATTGTCAGTAGATTTTATTAGCGAGCCAAGATTCACTGCGTCGTCTTCCGTGACACATTTCACCTTTAAAAAAAATGTTAAATGTATCTTGTAATAAAATAGTTTATGCTAAATCCCAAACTTAATAATTACTGTACGTAAGATACAAGTTGACTGTTGTAACAGGCCGACTTCAAATATGTAACTCGTAAATTATCACCGCGAGTATTACCGTGGACTTGTTAGCTATGGACGCAGTACGATTTTTTAAAGATTCTGTACTGCAAGCAGCAGCTGTCCTCCATAATAACTGATAATTACACTCCTCGCTGCCACCTATATATTCTGGAATTGTATCCTGAATAATATAAATTCGATTAGAACAAGAATAAGAGACAGGTAAATATAAAAGACGTTCTTGTTACACAGTGTACTTACTACAGCATTGAAATCGCATGTAAAAGTAATAGTTGTTTTTATATGTGGAACTTTTTTATCAGTTTTGCATATTGCTCCATCCTCATATTCCAATTTTATATTAGAATTATTATCTAAATACGGTGGTTTTTGTACATCGCCAAGACTTTCGTATCTGCAAGAAAATATATATTTAATATTACTGAGAACAATTCGTCGACGACTGTATTCATTATTTACCCATTTTTATTAGGATCTTGTAAACAGGCACCATTCGTCATCTGACATAAAGCGTTGTATTCGAATATAACTGAATGACACACGTTCAGTATTATTTTCGGCGCGGTCCTGTCGCCCAGTGGGATCACGTAATTCTCCGAATACTTCGTCAATGATGATAAATCATAATGTAATCCGGTTGCTTTATCAGTCAAAGTGCAATTTTGTATTGTTCTGTTCCCACAAGCCGCTGCGGTTCTCCATATTAAAAATAAAGTACACTTCTCGAATGTCTAAGGAATTAAAATAATATGTAACAGACATCAAAGAAAACTAAAACCGTACATACCTCATGAATGAATTCTGGTTTAGAATCGCCCATGACTTCGTAATCGCACTTCATTATAATATTCACTGTGTAATTAGTATTATCTCTACAGTTATCGCCTGTGAAAACAAATAGTATTCTCCCATCTTTCATGTCGACTTTCGCTGGGAACTTTCCTAGGAGCGAATACAGAATTTGGAAGAAAAATTATATAATGTACGTAATATTTATAAAGTGATTCTATAATTATTGTTGGTGATTAGCCAGTATACCTATTCCAATCTCTTTCTTATCTTTTTCGAAGCAGACACTGTAACCATCTTTCGAATTGCATTTCTTCTTAAGCTGTTGACAAAGCTGTAGTCTTATGGATCCGCTGTCCACATGACTAAAATGCAAATTAATATCGCGTGCTGGATCTTTCAAGTTCGTCAATGTCGTGAAATTATACGTAGATACTTTCCGTATCGGTTCGGGTATAATACAATAATTATTAGTCTGTAAATAATGTAAAAAACATTAGATAAAATAGATAAGATAACATAAAGAAATAAATTTTAAATATTGTTGTACTCACAGCAGAGACAGCAAAAATTATTACGAAGAAGTATACAAAATTATTTAACTCCATCTCCTTATCTTTTAATTGTTACTAATGCTAATCACATTGTTTTAACAGTTTAATATTTATATTTAACCGCAAAAAGCTTTACGGCTATCACCTATATTATATATATGCTATACCGCCGCACTTATTACGTATATTCACACTTTCTGATTGTTACAAGTTCCAGCATTATTCATTTGTTTATAAATCACAGTCACTCATCATTAAATTCCCTCTCTGTTATTAAACGTTGTTCGTCCATATACGTTAAAATTAAACAGTGAGTCGCCATGTCTTATGCCTTAAGCCCGATTTGTGCGTACCGTTATCAACGCCGTCATTCTCGTATTATCGTGTTGTCGGATCGTGATAACTTGGTGATCGATCTTATAAGCAGGTTTGAATACTGTAAATTCAGAAAACAAAAACGGGACGTGAATCGGTGAATGAAACCGCAAATTCAACATAGCGGCACAGTATTTTTGTGAACGTTTTGCGTATGGTTTATAGGTTAAGTTAGGTTAGGTTTGTACTGTTCGTGATGGTGGTGGTGATCGTGAATCGTGGTATTCATGGTGAGTAGTCGCATGGACCTGAAAGCCTGAAGGGCGGTGTGTGTGCATAGTAGTGCATAGTAGTCGCAATTACTTGGTTAGGGTACTGTGTACTGTACGGTGTATTTAAATATGCAATAACAACTTGATAGAAATCGAAAAGAATTTTGATTAACTTCTCGTGAACTCGTTGTGTCACTTTTATTAAAAGGTTATGGCTGATTTATTCTTGTTTAATCGGAATTTAAACCGGTTGTCAATTATTTTTCAATTGTTAATCGTGTGTATTACATTATTTCGCGATTCGAATTGTTTATACGAGGACCAAGTAGGAAAGTTCGATTGGTGAGCGTAAACTTCATTTAAATAATTTATTGTATACATCATAGTAGTTAGTATTTATACACGTGTTTCTTTTATAGGAAACAGAATTATGTCGGAAAAATAAGGTTCGCCCATTTCGATACGGTGTCTAATACAAAAAAGATAATTGTAGCTACCGAGGAGAATGTAATCGCTGCGATTAACTTAAAATCAGGTACAACATTCACACTTGTTACACATTTTCCTGTTTTTCTGCACATCTGTTTCTGTTAAATTATATGAAATGTTTCATAACTGAAGCCCGATTGATTCAAATGATAATTTCAGGCCAAATTTTATGGAGGAGAGTTTTAGAAAAAGGTGAGCCAGGCAACATTCTAGCTATAGGAGGAATCCAGGATGGTGAACTTGTTACTGTTAACGGAGGAGTGCCTGCGATAGTTAGAGCTTGGGACTTGGCAACTGGAAATATAATACATGAATGGCCGATAGCTGAACTCAATCATGGAAGGTAATATACAATTATTCGATTATAAATTACATAAATCTCCAATGTTTCCCTTTAGGGTCTCTAATCTATTGATCGTTTCATGATTATTTCTATTACTCATTACTATAGTTATGCATATATCGTTGTTTCACATGTTTACTAGTATCGCTATTTATTACTTAATATTATTGGTTTTACAGACGATTTTCTCCATTTATATCGTTTTCAACAGTCGGACTATACAGTGCGAAAAGGTTTCTCTCGTTATATATTATCGAATTATTGTCGTTACAATTACTATTATCCTTACTGTTACACGTGGCTATACATACTTACTTGCTGCACAAAATCTCAGATCTTCATTAATTTACTTGTCTCTCTTTTCACACGTGCCAAGTGGTTTACACGCTGCAGCACTGAAACCAGTATAGAAATAATTATATTTTTTCACATCTCACTGAAATATCTGTTGTATCTTTGTAAAATCGTGATTTACATGTTACATAATCAATACAAATCATGTATAATGGAAATGTACTGAGAAATGAGTTTTAAAATTGACTGGAATCAAGTGAAACATTAATAGTAATTTGCATTGTCTATTTTCTTCTGTGAATTCAGGATTAAGGACGTGAAATGGTATATAAAAGACGGTGTTCTGTACCATATTCTCCCGACTTATAATAACGGTGTGGAGGTAACATCGTACGATGCTAAGACCGGAGATAAGTTGAACTCCAGGAGAATATCAGCTCCGTTCATAACCGAGGAGACGGAGTAAGTGAATTATTCCTCGAAAATCGAATTATAATCAAAGATCCCAAATCCGTAACGTCTAGTATTTCAATTTCAGATGCGTATTGGCAGCTCCTTACCTGACCTGCCTGGAAGGTGACGCCAATCTCATGCTCTTTCAACTCCATCTGTTCGAAAGTAATTCTCAGCCCCAATGGCTGACTATCAATACCATTTTTGGTGCTGGAGCGCAGGGACCTTATAAATTATCCGTTGTTAACGGAGACTATAACGTTGTCAGTGTCAGTGCTGATGGTGGTCAGCGGAAACGATTGCTACTGGTAGAGGAAGTGGCAGTACCCATATCGAGGGATATTGACGGTAATGCGAACCTGTACACCATCAATATTGACGATGAGAAGGTGTTATTGGAAGCTACTTATAATAATGGGGTAAGACTAAATAATTGACGCGTTCTTTACAAAATTAATGTACATTATATTGGTAAATACGGAGGCATAGCCGTCTCTCGATCGGCTTTGACTTCACTTCGCAATTCGTTTCCTTTCGTCTATATCTAATTTCACGCACGTTCCAGGTAACGGAAATCCTAGCTACAGAATTATCAACTTCAAATCCGATTCCTACAATTTCCATGAATGTCTCCCACAACGTTCTATTCCACCCAGTCATTATGGCCTCTACCTGCCTGAAACAATCAAAGGGGATTACCTGCCGTCATCTTTTATCGTCAAAGGATCATAGCGTCGCAATGGTTGGAAGCAATAAACTGATTTGGAGCAGGGAAGAGGCTTTGGCTAGAATCGTCGGAGTCGAGATCGTCGAATTACCCATGTCCGACAGAGACAGAGAGATCGAGACGGAATTCGATCAGAAAGAGAGTGAGTATCGAATCTTTATATTTATCATTTGAATCACGTTAAGTATCCAAGATAACGTGTACTATGAATAGACTGCGGATTTGTATATTACGTTTGTTTAATTAAATTTGTATTAATTATGTTGTGGCCGCCGCGACAGGTGTCGATGTTTACGGTTCATGTAAGTAACTGAAAAGAAAGTTAATTGAAGTTTGAATAGAGCGAAAAAGAAAACGGCGAGTGCATGAGATAATAATTATTGTCCATCGTGTTTATTTCACAGGACTTTATATTACCAGTTGCTTTCCGTTTTTCGTCTAACACGATTTTTCTATTAATAATAAAAGCTGTTTGGCTGCTCAATTGTACACTGTTACGATGCATTAGTAATTATTAGTCAACGTCGTACGCTGTAATTCAATTGATTTCGGAATTACAGAGGATCAAGAATTTCGATCGATTTACTTTTAATTAGACGATCCTTAATGTTTGACCGATTGACTTTTTAGTCTTTCTAGTTCGGGTTTCCTTCTTCATCTCTGTCTCAAAGAGAACATTCTTTAATCGTCCTGTTAATTAATGTAGGGAACGTGCTGAGCATGATGTTAAGGAGAATAAACTCGCAGCTGAAGCAAGCCAGAACTTTTCTGCAATCGATGATTATCAATTTTAAACAACAGCCGTCGGACCAAAGGATGGATCTAGTCAGAGACAAGTTTGGCCTCCACAAGATGATTGTACTGGTCACAGCTGCTGGCAAGGTATCAATTGTTGTTACCCGTTAACAGTTTATTGATAAATGTTTGCATTCACTTATTAATGATAATATTGGCTATACAATCAATCCCAAAAGTTTATGCACTTTAGAAACGCATTTTTTAAAAAGAAATCAGACGTCGGAAGAACATTGCTAATAATAAACAACAAAAAAAATTTTCGATTTTTCCGAGATTTTTCCAAGGGGTACCTTAATCTTCTTATCCTTAATTGAATATTTCCTTCTATACTTTTTAGCACGTAGCTATTTATTATTAGCATTCTTCTTCCGACGTCTGATTTCTTTTTAATTATAGGAAATTCATTTTTCTAAGGTACATAAACTTTTGGGATTGACTGTATAGCCAATACATCCTTAACTGTCTTACTGTCCCTAAATACATATCACACACCTACGCTTTTCCCCATCTTCCTATAGTAAGACCAACTCGTATAACTACCTTAATTCTCATTTAACCGATACGAAAATGAAAACGATAAATGCATATATCGTAATTGTGAATACATATATATAAAATTTTCAGCTGTATGGAATAGAGACTAGAAAAGGAGAGATAATATGGCAGCTGAGAGTCCCAGGCATTCGAGGATTCAGCGAGAAGGAAGACGGTATCGTTTTATACGTTCAAAGAAGCAGCAGACATTTTCCATATCCGCCACAATGCGCACTATTGGCCGAAGATAAAGTAAGTCATATAAACATCGAGTCGTAGTACTCGTTCTAGTCTATAACGTAAGTACAATCTAATTTTTATTAACAATAAAAAAATATCTTGGCAGAATACAGGAAACGCAATAGTGTACACTTTCAACCCGATAACCGGGCAGCCTCTGGATGGTTTCGTGTCTCTACCATATAGAATCAAGCAATCGATGCTTCTCCATGTCCCGATCGAAGATTTTCTACGTGGGATCATTATACTGGATACCAGAGACAAAGTGCATATTTACCCTGAAAGAGCGAAGGCGGTAGCTGCGAAATTGGCTAAGAACATTTATATCTTCACTGCGGACAAGAACAGCGGGGTCTTCTCTGGATATTCTTTGTCTTACAGCACTGCCGAGGTAACTAATGCCAATTCCTTTATTCTTAACTGATTCACTGCGGATTTTAATACAAAAGAAAACGTCAAGATGGAAATTTTATATTATCGAAAAATCGAAACGCAATCTTTATCTTTAAACTCTTTTATAAATCTGCAAATGACCGTTGTCAGTCGCTATGTGAACGATCTGAACTACGTCAGTGCGTTTTTATGTAGGAACTAATCGCCCATAAAGTATGGGAGTTGCTATTGTCTCCAAGAAACCAAAGAATAACTCGTGTAGCCTTGAAAAACCCGATAGAGAGGGTCCACTCCCAGGGCAGAGTTCTGGGCGATAGATCCGTTCTCTATAAATATATAAATCCTAATTTGATCGCTATCGTCACTGAAGGAGTAGGTCACGCTCAGAAAAGTTAGTAAACCGTTTCTTAAAAAATGTCATATCCTCCAATTTGAAAACGAAGAACGCAGGTGATTCGAATTGATTCATTTTTCCATTCGTAGATACCATCAATTTATATTTGTTAGACGTGGTCTCCGGTGCCATGATATTCTCCATAGCTCACAAGAGAGCCAGAGGACCCGTTCACACAGTCCATTCGGAGAATTGGATCGTTTACAGTTACTTCAATGAAAAGAGTCGAAGAACCGAAATAGCGAGTTTGGAATTGTACGAAGGAAAAGTACAAAGCAACACTACAGGTAATGCATGTTCATTGTGATTTCCTCCTCGATTATCTTGCAAGTTATTAATCATTTATGTTTCTTCGATAGTGTTCTCCTCTTTGGCGACTGCCAAACTGCCAATCGTAGAGAGGCAGGCATTTATCTTCCCAGCCTCGATAGAATCGATGAGGGAGACCATCACTGAGAAAGGAATTACCAGTAAACATATAATAGGTGAAGATCCAATAAAATTATGCGCATGTTCTTTATTCTGTTTTATAGTCCTTCCGCTTGAATATGATGCGATGAACAGATGGTGTAACTATACAAATTTTTCTGTGCTAGTTGCCTTGGCTAACGGCGGAGTGTTGGAGCTACCGTGGATGATGGTGGATCCTCGTCGACCGGTAAATCCAGAATCCAGAGAAGAAGGAGTGATTCCGTATACTCCGGAAATTCCTATACATATGGACGCCACAATAAATTACAACCAAAGCGTATTCAGGGTCGCGGGAGTCCATACCAGCCCCAGCGGCCTGGAAAGTACCTGTTTAGTATTTGTACATGGATTAGGTCGGTACACTTTCTTTTTCTCTTTCTCAATAACAAGTATTACGGATATTTATGTATATGTATGTTGTTTTGTAGATTTATTTTACACGAGAGTGGCTCCTTCGAAAACTTTCGACGTACTCAAAGAAGACTTTGACTATTATCTAATAGTCGTAGTTCTAGCCGCATTAGTAATTTCTTCTTACATCGCGAAAAAGTTGGCGTCTCAAAAGGCACAGAAACAGGCTTGGAAATAGCTGATTCGTACTTTATTTATCATTCGGACGCCGTACGTGGTTCGTTCCTCTAGGTGAATTTCTATATATAGGGTAAACGTGCGCGTAAATCAAAGAGTCTGCAATTAATAAAATACGAATTTAATCTTGACACACCATTCGGTCGTCGCTAATTTATTATCTCGTACAATTCCGTTGTTATACAACTTAATGCCGCGGGTGATGTCGCTCCAGCGCCCGAAAATTTAGACTATCTTTCACAATTTGTATTTAGAATCATTAAAGAAATATGTAAATAATTGTATCGTTTCATATCAATTAAAACTGCAACCGTTCCAATAATAATTTCAAGTCCTGTACTCCACGTACGATTCTCCAGTATTTCTTTGAAAAAGACCCTGGAGAGGATCACCAAAATGTGGAACGATCTCTGCTCGTAAGTCTACTGTATTTTATTTATTGAATATTAATTAGTTTAAGTGAAATGATAGCAGATCTCTTCTTGGATTCTACCTGCCGCTGTTCTGACAGCTTCTTATGAAACAGTCTCTACAGAGTGTCCTAGAAAAAGTGTTAGGTACTCACTGCATTTTACGAAAGGAAATTGTTCAGAAATACCTCCGAAATCACCCATTTTCGGCTCCAACACTTTCTGGGACACCCTGTATACTTATTACGTAAACCTATTTGAACATTTCGAACTGCACGTGGTGTTGTGGTCTCTCGCATAGGAACAACATTCACGCATGTGCCCGAGAGATCCTCTCGGAAGGGCGAAGCCCTCCGTTTAATAAGACCGATGGAATTATTTTCTACTTCTCGTTCAATACATTTGTGCCAATTTCAACAATTATTACTCAGTGTCATGTGAACAGAAAGATAAATAAACACGAAACGGTACTCGTGAAACGGCACTGACTTCTAACCAAAAATTAGCTCGTACTATACATTTTATTCTGACACATGATCCAGGAATTCGAGTTTTATAACACGTACACTAATTAATGTAGACAAGACTGATTATATCAAATGAAATCATCGACTGTAATGTTCTCTATTCAAGTGAAAAAGGAAATGTCGACTGAATTGAACAGTATTATGAGTATCACATAGGAGGCACATTTGATTTGTTATACTTTTGTATATACAAACGATTAATGAACATAAAAGATACTCAGTGAAATAATGTTATTTAAAAGTACATTCAAAGGAATTCATGAATCTCAGAAAACAGAGCAATTATGCTGCACTGACAAAGCAATGAATGCTAAGAATCTCTAATATATTTTTAAACGTCAAAGTAAATCAGTATTCAACAGAATTGAATGTAATTCAATTCAGTCTCTGAGTGTACAGGAGGATGAATGCCAACACTTCTGCATCGGCCTATTTTATGACTATTTTAGAATATCATGAACATTGAGCCAAGTGTTATGTAATTGATCTACCCGATGCAAAGTCTAATCAAATATCACGTAAACTTAATTGAAACTTGATCCAAATTCTATGTAAGAAGAAATTTATACATATGGGCCTGACAAAGTTACTGAAGCGTATGCTATATGCAAACTTTGCATCCTGCAGCTCAAAAACGATTGGAATATTAGCACCGTTAACGATCCCACCTCTGCACATTGCATTCTTGTATTACTTCTGGCAAGAATATTCAAGAGATGTTGACAAACAATATTGCTCTTGTTCTTGTTGGGACACAGTGTTCAAAGGTAAGTTATTCTTCTCAGAAACAAGGAAAACAATTAACTTGATGGTAGTATCATGTCCACTGTTATTACAGGATCGTACGAATCGGGTATCGCGTCTTATAAACACATGTACTTCAATGCGACGTCGAACAGTTTAAAAATCTGGATAACAATCGTGATCGGAGTTATCACTCTGTACGAAGTAATGAAACACCTGACATGGTTAGCTTTCCAAAATCGGCTCAGATTTTCAATGATGACACTATTTTCAACCGCTATTTTCTCCCATTATTACACCTGGTGGGTTTATATGAATTATTGGAACGACGAATTCTATTCCCAGTGGTACCATCAATTGTTTTTCTCTGTCACTGAGCTGATATCCACTTTCCTGGTTGTTCATCTGGCAGATAATAAAAACCCAGTGACTCACAGGAAAGCGTTTGGTATTGCCGCAATAGCTATTTTGCATATTGTAGCAGGTGGCTGGGATCAGTTTGTCGCTAATGTCGTCAGAGGCGAAGGATATGCACATCAGGTAAGAATGAGTCATAATTAAACTGCGGATATTTATGCAGAATGAAACATTTTTAATTTCAGTTCAGAAAGTCCTTTAAAAACTATATTCACTTTGCTTCTAATGTTCTAAATATCTTTTTATTAAATGCATTTTCTGCAAACTTTTTGTAACTGTATAAAGTCCACAGTGTGATCATGATACTAAAATGTTCATAGTTAAATGTTTTAGCTTTGATGTTGAGTTAGCGATTTTTGTACAATAGGTCGTACGTGATCTTGGGTTTATGATACCTGACATTCTCCACGTTTGTATACCGTTATGGGCGGTTAAATGGAGAAATATCTATAATCTTCCGGGTTCTGCCAAAAGAGATCCGAGTATCAGAAGAGATCTAGCGTACATGTTAGGGATGATATGCATCGGATTATGCATTTGTGCCATATTGTAATTTCATCGTTATAAACGCCTAAAAATAGTGTCTTAACTTCGAAGGGGAAAGCCACTGTGACAGATAAAGAAACATCACGTTAATACCTTTACTTTAAACGATATTATACGATAGTTGCTCCCTTATTGCTTTCACAGTGGGTTTTTCTCTTGGGAAAAAAATTGTTTCGTTTAAATTATTTTTTAATACAAAGTGTTACGAAAAGATATACGTACATCTAAAAACAATTCGAAGATACATATCCGCGTTTTTAAAATACGTTTGACGGTGCTAGTACTTATGAAATGATGAGTTACATTACAAGATGGCTTTAACATAGACAGAAGAGAATAGCTCGAGCGTACAAAGCATTTTTGTTGGTGAGAGATAGGGAAAACATGCTTTGATATATTCCCATTCATTCTCTTTCTCCTTTGTTCTGACGTCTCTCATTCAAGCGCTCAACCTATTCTCTGGATTCTAATCGACTAATTTTGTAGACAGTTCTCGTTGTGACGTTTGATAGTTCTATACATTATTTCATTAGCCACATTAGTTAAAAATACCTGTAGAGTACAAGTAGTTCGTTACGAAGACATATCCTTAGGTCATTGATTCTTTTTTATCTGTGTCAACTAGTGACCTTATCTTGCCTATTGACAAAATATATGATAAGACCAACAAATAAGTTGTCTAGAGCAACTTACGGATGATACTTATTTCGTAGCATGAGTGTGTTCAACATTTAGATATATGTACTTACTACGTATTTAAGAAGTTTATTTACAAAATCGTTTTGTAGTAGTCACTTAAATCACTTTTACATTTTCGGAGAGAAACGTAATTAATTCTGAAACTCTAAAAGCTATGCACATGGAATATTTGAACAAAAATTATCATATACGAGCCATTTGTTATGAAAATCGGATATCTTAATTTTTTTAATTACTGTGATATTAAAGTTTACGGTTTAACAATAAACGATTTTGCATTTTTAGTTATTAATCGATATATTCAATAATAACTATAATTTAGGGGCTGAAAGATTGTGAAATTGAATTTTTTTCTAAAGTGGAGTTGCCTCATTTTCATAATAAACGGCTGATACAATGTTTAGAATGCATTTCTTATGACTAAAATAGAAATGTAAAGAAGGTGAATGTATAGGCGCAGAGCCTAGCCTTCTCGTTAAAAAAATGTAATAACGGCTACAACGAAGTGCCTAAATGCAACGTGAATTATTTTGAATCCTATCAATGACTTCATGACATGTATTATATAAATTGCTTCTACGAGTAATAATGGACATTATGTAAAAATATCGAAAGCCTATAAAGATAGTGATAATAAAACAATTGTATTAAGAGTTTTATTTCAAAGTACCAAACGTTAATAGTAATCAATTTTACTATTACCAGACAGGAATCTCCTCTCTGCTATTACATTATGTATATATTGTTTTTGTACAGATTGTGCAGCAAGATTGATTTGATTTCCTCTTCGTATATTTCTTTTTATAGGACTAAATCGATAGGAAATCCGTATTGAAACGGTAGAAGTG